GATCTACTTAATTAAAATGAATTACCCTCGATATTTTTATTACTTCTCATAGATTTTGATTTAAAAATAGAGACGTTAAAAAGTTACTTTACAGTAGCATAAAGTTATTTTTACTTATTGCAACTGGTATCCAACTGAAGGGTTTTATAAACTTTTATTCCATTAGAGAAATTGCATCCTGAAGGATTTTACTTAGTTCGTCCAACGTCTGATTGATGAATATAAGACGTTTGTTCCGCTCGATCCGACTTCTTTACGTATAAAATCCTTTTCTTTATTTAGGAAAATGCCACATTTCAATCTGAACGTACATTGATTCCCAGAGAAAAGATTACCTACATATAATTTAGATTCAATAAGAGCAGTCTATGGATCGGAAAATTTTATGCAAAATCCACAAAATTCTAGAAAAAAATGAGCTCGTTCCTTATAAAATAATAGTCATTGTTTTTTTAGGTCACTCGGTTTATTTAGTCCCCTAACAATGAAATGTTCTGCCCACGTTTCATAAAACAAATGGAGGATGCACTGGCAAAGACAATATTATCTCTGAAGGTGGAACGACGGCGTTACGATAAATTCAAATGCAAATTAGTTCGCAGTTCTGGGCAAATATCTTACTAATTTATAGAATTCCCGCGATTCTCCAGGAAGATACGAAACTTATTCCATCTTCATTAAAAAGTGTTTTAAATACAAGGATTAGTTACAGGCTCCTAAAATAGCATCTTGGGGAGGTTTTATTTAAAACAATGTTTATGTAAACTAAGTAGTTGATTAATGCGTACCTATAGAATTGTAATACATTTTAAATTCTGGTATATGGGCCAGTAAACGTTAATAATTGGAATGCTAAGCCGAATTTGATTTAGTGATCCACAAGGCTTAATGAATTATTAGTTCGGACCCGCTTTGGGTTAAAGTAAATAACCCAAGGCTGTCGTTATCAGTGCAATGTAAATAAATCAGATCTTGGCAATTAATAACTGTACGAAGCAGGATGCAAACGTCAATCAGCAATGATATAATCAATCATGATCTAATAAATGATCTTTTTTAAAAATTGAGATAAAGCTTCGTATACCTACTTAGATGAACTTTCGAGACTGCAGAATTATGTAAAAACACTGTTAATGCAACATGTGCAAAAACTCTCTGCGAGTGTATTTATAATATAGCGAAATTCCGAAAATTATATTACCGGAATTCAGCTTTTAATCCTTACTATTATCGAATTAGCCCAATTCCCTAGCGTGAAACTTGTTACGTACTCCATGGACTTTACCGGCTTAAGTGAGAGACTGATAGTGGTACAAGAACATTCCTCGGGGAGAACGAGATTGAGCAAAATTCGCAGCTTAATTGAGGCAATCATTCGTATCAGTTGCTTCGTTTACTTAGAGCAAACTTGTAACACAAAATGTATCTTTGTAGTTACAAATAACACCTTCAGATTAAAAGTTTATTACAAAAAGTTATAGATTAAGTCTTGAAATAGAGCATGTAAAAGTATATTTCATAAAGCATCTCTGCAAAGGTGCAAGTGCCCACACGTTGCGCCTTAATTTGCACACCGGTGCATTCACCGTGTAATGTATACGCATACATTAGGTGCAGCTAAGTTGTTGAAAACTGTGCGAGCTTCCCAAGTTAACGGAGACGTTAGAGACCCGCATTTTGTTTAAAATTCACCTCAAACTAGAGCGGCATGCGATGAAAAATGACTTTTAGAGAGGTGCAAAGTTTGCGACGGCCGAAAGGAAAACAGCATTAGCATCAGTCGAACTAGGAAACTCTCGTGGTTAGTAGTAAATAACATTTTAAACGATCCCAACTCCGACGAAACTCCACATAATTAATGCAAATAACGACCGTCGCAGTTAGCGATAGTTCGTCATTTAATTAACGAAATTTGCTCTGTTTTTACGAAATAAACTCACCGCTCGTGAAACTTAGCTCTCGCATCTTCGCGTAACTTCCTCAAACAACCGCCGATTTCAGATAATTAATCCGAAAGCGTTAACTTATCGATATCCGATCTGCATTCGGAATTAGATTGCGCCCGTGCGGGTACAGCAGTAATCGAAATGAGGATACTGCACGGGGTTCTATACGTAACACGTGTTACGTAATAACAATACATAAGGGCGTATAATGGAGCTACGAATGTCAGGGAGTTTTGAATGGTATAGCAAACTCATGGTAGTTGTGTAAAGGATAATTAACAAAGTTGACTGTGTTTGACGGAGCAAAAAAGATTACAAAGTTCGGTCATCGCATAAGCACAAGCCATTGTCACAATGAATTCAAATTAAATTAATTAAATTTTGTGCGTTTACCTGCACATACGATTTCATGTGCATTAATTCTATAATACACAATTTAGTCTCTATTAATAAAAATAAATAAATTACAATTTTATCATTTTCTTATCAAGTGCCACAGGTACCCACAAAGATATTCATTGTATACGTTTAATCTATTTAACCTCATTATTTATCTTTGTTTAAATAGTTTTCCAAACACAAACGATTCGAATTTCAGGCGCATTTACTACAATATACTAAATTTCCTTACAAAATTTCTAGATATTCCTGCTACGCCTAATTTGTTCAAAATTTTCAATGCAGTTTTTGCTTACTTGTTAATCCATCTAAAATACCCTCTTGCTTACCCTCTTCAATGGCTAATTAAGGCTCCACATTCAGCTTATTTAATCGAGCCTTCCGTGTGCCCATTTCTGACGAACAAGGAGAAAATGCGGAAAAGAGGAATAATAATGTTAGCTGGCATATAAATAAAATACAAAATTAGATTCAACAGAAGATAATTTTCTAAGCTCGAATATCGAAGTACAACAAAACATCATTATTGGAGCTAAGGAGAGAATAAATTTGAAAATAACATTATTATTTTAAAGTATAAAAAAAGTATAGGTATATCTGAAGTTTGCAGAAACGCCTCATTCATTTCTTTTTTAAAAGGGCGTAATAATTTATTTAGTTCTTCCTGCGAATGATGCGATTGAAGAAACTCGTATTTAATAATTTATGAATGGGATTATATGGAATTATCTAAAACTCAACGAGGCGGCAAATCCGAATGAAGTCGAACGAAATGATAAATGAATATTCAATGAGTTAGGAATTTTTGTCACGGAAAAATGGTTCCAGGTTAAAATGAAAAATAAAACTGATTATAACTCCGCGGATAATACACGTCCAACGAAAACGACGCTCCATTTTTAATTACCTCTTTAATTTAACTTCGACTAATAGCAGTAGAAAATTAGCTATTTTCCTTCGTTCAGTTTCTATCGTGATAAGCAATTTTGTCGCCAATAATGCATTTATCCGCATCGGGCAAAGAGAAAAGCAATTGACCGGGCGAGCGAATGCAGTCGATGGGTATGTAAAATAAGAGGAATAACAACGCGTTATCCGGTTCTTTTATATCTCATGATCCATCCCATTACCAGTATGAAAGGATTCCTTTCATGGACGCTCCGGCTCGGGACCAATTCGTTCCCGTTTCCCTTGGGAAACGCAGGAACACCTCTATCTCCAATTCCGCGTTAAATTTAGCCTGTTGATAATCGTCGGGGAGATTATTTCCGATAAAATTTATAGCATTTCGAATCGATACGACAAAAAAATGTAAAAAAATTTATCGAAACGATTCCGAGCTTTACGCAATTTAATTACGGAAAGCAATTAGCGTGGCTATGTTGTATCGATCCTGTCGCCTATTTAATTGGCCAAGCACTAGCAGGAATTCGAGCGTGTAATGTAACCTACCTGTTCTTAAATAGTTAAGGGACCTACAATTCTACAGGAATACCTAAAGACACGAATGTTACATGCAAATAATATTTAAAAAAAATGTCTCATAATATAACGTATTTTCGTCCAAACTGGCTATAATAAACGAAGTAACATTTCCAAGTTTCTAGAAAAAGTACAACACCCTGGATAGAAGTATTTAAATATTGCACATTCAGGTGCTTTACGATGGCTTTTTGCATAAATATTCCGGAGCGCTCATCGTGAAAAACTGCGGAAATTCTCTTATAATATACAATTCCCGTCTGTTACTGCGGAAATCGCAAGGGAACAAAAGCGCGTCGTCCGTATATTTTCTGCGAGCACGAACGAACTTATCGAAACATCGAGTCGATATTTCCAAGTGGAAAGAAGAAAAATCTATAAGATTTCCATTAATTTGGCAGCTGTGCAGTGAATAGTAAAAACTTGTTTAGAAACAGCGTAATTAGTTAGGAATTACTACTCGAATACCTACTGGAAATAAAAATAAAAAATAAAGTTTGGAATTTTTGTCCGGAAACAAAACATTCGTATTAAAGCTCCTAAAAAATCACAATTACAACGGGATAGGGATATCTAAGTTCCATTCGTAGCGAATGTGCAATTAAGCTTTTAATTATTTGGTCTCTTGAACGGCCAATTAAGCTTTTAATTACTGTGATGACCTTAATTCGCGTCTACAGCTGTACGATGTTGTGTCGTAATGCGTGACGAAAATTCGCGTGCTCGAAAAAATTACAATAAAAAAATACAATCTCAACATCGTCCACGTGCACGAATTGTTTTATTATTAATTTCTCATTTTAGATTTAGTTGGACGCTATTTTTTTCGTACACCATCAATTAAACAACAAATAACAATAATGGTTTCAAGGCATTGTAGAAATATACTTGCATTATCTAAATAATGGAAATATTAGGCAATTTTATTCAAGGACTATAATTATTCCTATAATTATACATAATCACTGTTATAATAAGTACAGTGATAGATGCACAACAGCGTTAGGAATGAGATGATAGTAATCCTTTAGATAAAAAACATTAACCTACAATTAGAGTAAGAGTAAAGAGAGAAATTATAAACACAAATTAATTAAGCCCCGCGGAGATATGCGAGTAATGTAAATAAAATGTAGACGTATAATAATTATAGGTAAATAATAAGAAACTTACCTTTGTGGATCTTTTGTATGGCGAATGTACCGCGAGCATTCCCGTTTGTGAAAAGTTGCCTCTATCCAACTCCTTGCTGGAGCCTGCAAAAATGGTTACTTATAAATAACATTTTATTGAAAGAACAGTGGCAAGAAATACGGCCGGATGGTGTGACTACAATCGGCTTATTTCCGGCAAAATCCTAAGCAAATTCCGTCGCAACTTGGCCATTATTTATCTCGACTCTAATATAAACTGAACATTACAATCTATTTGAACTACTCGCTGCCATTTCGCAAGGGAGAGTAAATAAACAGATACAAAAGATATTGCTTAAATAACGAATTATTAGGCATCTCTCTACCAATCAATTTAATTGTAAATAACTAGCGCATATATGCATAGTTCAATCGCATCATTACTCTACCACACATTATAAATTAAATTTGTAGTTTCGATGGAATTTATGCAAGAGCGAATTGGGCCCTTTGAATATAACATGTTTTAATCCCCCGGGATAATTTCCATTCCGGTCGAAATGCTCGAAACACCTGGTAGTATGAACGCAAGTTATTCGGTAACGCAATAATGGAATATGTTCCGTTTTGTTCTGTTGTCATGCGGCACAACTAAAATGTAATTAAAAGTGCACTGCACAATACACCTGTTAGTAGATATTTAATTCTCTTTAATAATCGTCCGCATTGTCGAAATTATTGGAAGTACTTATCTAATTATGTATCAGTAGCTTTAACTGAATATTAAGTTTTATTAATGATAAAGGACGTGGCTTGATTACTATCAAGGGAGTCGTTGAATTATCCGAATCACGAATTACGAATCGAGGGATTCATTGAATACTCGTTCAATGTCAGCTTTCACTGTACTATAATTATTTCGTGGTTACTGATTGTGGAGGAGTAATTGAGAAAAGTTTTTATAAACACAAAATTCGAACAAATTCGGAATAACGGATATGTAAAAATAAAGTGATGTAGGTACAGTGGTGGTAATTTACAAGTATATTAGGTATTGGCTTTCGGTTGTTCCATCAATCCGAATTAATCCAAACAGCATAATTCTGAAATGTATGGATATGTAAATTACTTGCTATTTATTGTCCGAATTCGAATATCCCACCTGTTAACTTTGAAATTGTAAATTTGCAATTCCTCTATGACGAATTAACGTGTTCCGTGTTTATGTCTAAACCTTATCGCTTTATTACAGGCGATAAATTGCAAGAAACTACCATAGAGCTTGAATTATTTAGAAACGTACTACTCCAATTACTCCAAAATAGCGTTAGAAAAATGTTTTTATTATTAATTTATACCTCGTTGGAAATTTATTACGAAGTATTGTTTGTTGCATTGAGCAATTTCAATTAGTTTGAAATAGCTAAAATACCTTCGGCGATACAGGAACGCTTGGGAAATGCTGAAGAATATTTCCGGAAAAGAAAAATTTGTACGGTAGCAACGTTCAAGCTTTGTGTTGCGATATGATAAAGTGGATTGCGGTCGGCGTTCATTCCAGACCTATCTTCAAAGCATATTGCAAGCTTCAGAAAAATTATTTATCTGGAAAGCTCCACAGCAATACTAAACAAAAGATTTTCATCTTCAGGAGAAAGAACGGTCATTTGGATAAAATTTGTAAATACTTAACAAACATCCCTGCGGGATACTTTAATAAATTCGCCTTCGGATGCGAAGCTAAAAAATCCAATCTTGGAATGAAATTCGGATCAACTTCGAAACCGAAGATTTTATCTAACCGCTTGTTTCACTTTATAAGTGTTCTTTTTCCGCGAGTTTCCACGCGAAAGCGAAGGAATGCTACCTATTCAGGTGAACCGACATAATTTTCCATTTGAATAAATCCGAGCCGCAAACTTTTCCAAGCCAAAACGACGTAAATCTGACGCTTATTAAAAATTCCTCGAGCTTTCTGTTTCGCGCTTGCAACGAATTAAAATAAATTATTCGACCGAAGCGGTAATCAAAACAACAAGCCTTTTCGGCGCGTTTACACGGGACTCTATCAATTTTAATGGAAGTCGAATGTCAAGTTTCAATGCACAGTCGGTTGCAAATCAAATCGACATAAAAACCGCCGCGAAAGCTGCATGGAAGGGAAAATCAATGCCGCATCTCGCGCTCCGGTTGCAGCTCCAGATCCACAAACGTTTAAACGCCGCACATAAAAATCATCCTCAAAAGCCAGAAAGATAATTAAACGCATCTCCATCAGCGTAATTAATTTTTTAAAGGCGCAGTAAAATATATATTTCCGCAGTTTCCTCGTTTATTTGATCTAGTATAATCACGTTGTAATTTGAAAAATTCAGCGAGTTGAGGAAGTGAATAGAATATTCTACTTGCACGCTAATTTTTAGTTTTTTAAACGCTACACTATCAAGCTGATGTAAATTCAATTTTGTACTATACTAAAATTGTCTAATTACAAACTAAACTTCGTACTTACGATCAAGCAATAAAGCATGCAAAGTCTACAAAATCGATTAGTGTTAATGAAAATCAACAAAATAAACTTACAGGTGATGTAAAATCGTTTGCTACAGGCCATAAAAATGTCGATAGAGATGTCACTAGAGAGTCAAAAGTGCCGTGTCGTCGCTGAAAATTCCCAGAAATGGTCGTGTTAGATTGGATAAAAAAGACAAAATCGGTCCGTTTTTTTTTCAAATTTCACCAAAACACAAGCGAACATTTGCCGTTACGTTAAAGTTAGTATTTGCGACATGAAGCTTCAGTTATTGATGTTTGTTAATAAGTATATTTACCTTGTCGGATAACGATTTTTATGCGCTGGTTAAATAAGAAAGCTTTCAAATGTCGATGTTTACATTCACACAAACAAGTCGATTTACGACAAAACCACGCCAGTGTACACCTTGATTTTTTTTCGATTCGTCGTTAATTTCGTGAAGCCGAGTGTAAAGAAACATGCACTTACCACGAGTATCATCAACTCGGCGAAGTCGGAAACATTACAATGTGTCGTATTTTCGAGCGCATTCTTTTCAAACTTAAAATTACATTCGAAATAAATTCGATATAATGCTCGGTTTTCCGCTATGGTAGAAGGTGCATAATACCTGCATTTCAATGGAGCTGATGCATATTTTACCATTCGAGCGAACGCATTTACGTGCCGAATAATAATAAATTCCCGAAAGCTCGGTTTAAATTGTAGCTAATATAAAACAAAATTTCTTTTCCTGCACACAATAAAGCAGAAACTCCGAAATTTTAACAGGAAGAGTCGCAATGTTGCCACTATGTACCTTTTTTTCTCATACATCAAGATCTAAAATTTAAATAAATAGAGCAATTATTTACGAAGCGAATAAAATCTAATCCCTCGCGTTAAATTAATCTGCATAAATAATCAAGTTTTCGCAGAAACTTCGTTAAATACATCCAAACGTACATTTTCATTCGTTAAAAGGCTATATCTCCGGCACGAGTATAGTCCAATTTCAACGAATTAACGCCCGGGTCCGTTTCTTTTCGAATTGACACAACGAAAACTTTCAATTACTGCGTAATGAAAGAGCGAGCGACCTCAGGAATTGAATTAACAACGGAATAAGACAAGACGTCAGAGAAGCTCGGCGCAAAGAGCAGTCTCGTCGAGATATAATTGCTTTAATAAATTAGGAGTTTATATACAAACATGCGCGAGAGTATAAATACGTAACAAATTGCGTTAATTAGCATATTCTACTTCTGTTTCTGGAGTGTTTTCGTGTTGTGCACATTGGAAATTGTTAAAACAGAAGTTAGAATTAAACATACCCTAATTAATTTCACTGCAAGAAATTTGAGGATATCAAGATCAAACGTAAAAATAAATCAAATTCGATTATACGAATAAGTGTTATCGCGAAGGCTAAATGCAAATCTAAAAGTGGATATTTGGATGCAAATGTATACCTAAAAATGGAATTCGCCCCTTTGCAGAACGAGTGAATACAGAATGAACAAAAAAACATCGAATTTGTAAGGGTTGTACCTTATGATGCCGTAGTGGAGCAATATAACACTTTGTACAAAGCCCGGAATTCACAATTCAAATCCGGTTGACCTGGATTCCTGAAACGTACCCTTGTATGCTCGAATATTTGTTTTCAATCTTCTCGTCGAAACTAGAATACCCATTTTTTCGATTTAATTACATAAATGTCGTGCGCAATTTAAAGTTTTACTGAAACTGTGACAAATTTAATGGAAAAATTTATGTACGAATTTACTGGAGACTACAGAATTCCCGACATTGACATTGGAATTCGCAGAGTTTCCGGGAAAACACGTACATTCGATAAATATATTGGCTAATAAAAAATTCGAAGAGCGTTTCCATACTAACAGGTAGAGTATTTCTCATAAATTCACAAAACGCCGGATGTAGAAACACAGCAGATTCGAAATATTGTAGATATAGAAAAAAACGCAAATTCTAAAACATCTCATTACTCTAATTAAATGTACTTACTGCTAAAACCCAGACGGATACCTTTCTCCGTGTGTCCTTATGGAACTTGAAAGATTTCGCTAAATTATCAACCCAACGAGGGTCACAAATAATCATAATACCACACTATTCATTACAATTACTGTTTACTTTTAATAAATCAATGCTTTTATTACCTAATATTTTCGTTAACAAAGCATAAAATATAATCGTACCTGTTAACAGGAATTGATTATCTAATTGATAAGTGACAACCTAATGATTGCAAGTAAATGTTGATATGTTTACTGATGAAACAGTGGAAAATTAGGTACCTACGTAAATGTTTAAATTGAGTGTATGATACGTTAAAAACCATCCAAAATATTATTATCGTAACTAGATACGGATTGATATCTTTAAGTTTACCTTCCACCTAATTTTGGCATGTTATCTTCACTTCTTCGAATTTGATATGTAACCTAAATTTACTTGTTCTAACAAAGGCTACACTCGAAGATTACTCGTTTGTATATGTTTATTATCATATGTATAATTGTGTACACATAAACATGTGATCTGGAAAGCGTTTAGAATAAATAAATTCTTTAGATCCGACCCGAGTCGCATTCTCTGGGACTGCATCATACATTAAATTTGATATCACATGTGTGTATTTACAATTGGCGAATGCAGGCTGTTTGTCACGGAGCAATAAATTTGTAACTTTTTTAATGATCGTTTATTATCTAACCAAAAGCAACGGTAAACAATTAAACAACTAACTTTGCAACACTTTTTGAATGCATATTTTTAATTTAAAACGCATTTTAACACACTAATTTAGTCCACAAATAGTGAAAGAACGAGAAATTATCTATTTGTAAAATATATAACATTTGATAACCTTTTGTATAATGAGTATATTGAACTTTATAGTCTTTATTTTGGTAGATATATTCACTTTCGATTTTCATCTATATGTTAATTGGATTAATTTTGGTGATTTACGCACAGCAGCTTAAATAAACATTAGGTACACGGGGATCATAAATTAAGCGGATTTTTTTGCTTTCCGTATGGGTGTACGAATATTTTTATACGAGATAAGAAATGCGCGTGAATAATTAATCTACATTGCAGAATTTTTCCATTTAACAGGACGTTCTACGTTATGAATAATGGAAAAGTTCGAACAATCTGGAGATTTCATTTTAATAATCTAACCCCGATAATGTCATGGTGTGATGGTGTTGGAAAAAAACTGCAGCGGATTGGTAATTTTTCATTTCTTCATATTAGGCAATAATAAATGGGCAAAAAATACCTCATCCTTATCCTTTTTCTTCCTGTTTTTACTCCAAAGCACTATAGGATTTAATTCTTGAAAACTGCCGTGTATTCTTTGTGATATAGTAATAATATCGGACTTTTTAAGCGTCATTTTTCACAACACAGTACTAATTAAACACCAGTTATAACTAAACATATTTTCTGTCGATGAGCCATAAATAATACAGTCTGATTGTCTTAATTTGAACTCAAATAATTTTCAACAATTTAAAGCAGTCCATACACTTGTCATCTTATACATGTTTTAATATCAAATAAATCGAGGAACTACACGGATTCGTTTAAAAGTAGCATTCAATTTGTTTAAATAGTTAAAGCAAAGAAATTAATGTGTGTTATAAATTACTGTCAGCATAATTTACTCAATGTATGGATTTTTTAAAGTTAAGTAATATATGCATAAAAATTATATTAATACCTTTGTCTCAATGCTAAAAATACAGTTTATTTACTCGCTAAAAGAATGCTAATTTAATTTAATTAAAAATTAATCATCGTATTAAGGCAAATAAAAATTTATTGGTTAAAAAATGACATCACTCTTATCGCTCTAATTATTCCATGATAAACGACTTACGTAGTGTATGGCCAACTCTTTCCAAGTTTATTGCTCGTGATACAATAACGTAAGTTCGTTATCGCAAAAAGCATTAACCAACGTTTGGATAACGTCGAAAATAAAATACAGTAGCAGACTAAATTACATTCTCCGGATCCTTGCATCTCCATTGCAATCGCAGTTAAATTAATTCGTAATCACGTTGCAGTTGCAAAATTTTGCAAGCTTACGTAAAAATAGCGATACGCTATTTTTGACGTGTGTCCGTGTCACTATTGATGGCTTATCAGCATTTTCAAATCAGGTGCAAAAATGATGAATCACAAAGTTTGCAAATGTGTATAAGTTCTAAAGAAAATCGTTCTACTAAACGATCTATAAAATATTCATGGCAATTATGAACATTTATGTATACAATTTTTATAATGCAAAATTATTAAAAATCGATCAAAACGAAAGAGAGGCTTATGCATAAACAATACAAACAAACCATGCGCATACGTGTAAAATGCAAAATGTAAAAACCAACATCGAAAAAAATAACGGATTATGCGGACATTTAACTTACTTTTACTCGGGGCTTATCCAGATAAGCGTACGAGTGCTGAAACAGGAGAAAACATAAATATCTCTAGAAAAAATCCTAGTAATTTTTCGCCTAAAACGAAATTTATTTCTCCATTAGGTACATCGAATCCAACGAGATAACTTTTGTAGAATACCTTGAATTTATTTCTCCTTTGCTTATAAAGCGTTAAATATCAAAAACTCAAAACTTGGCGGTTATATAAAATGTATTAATTGAAAGCATTGTGTTACATTACAATCGGGTAACCTCAAACCAGACCACGTCCTCTAAAATAAATACACACGTGTCCGCAAACAATGCTGATTTTATTGTTATATACAAAAATATATCCACAATTACCTATATTAGGTAAGTTTTACTTGTTCAAAATTAAATTCGAATTGAGGATTATAATGATTCGTATTATTAACAAATTTATCAAATTGTAAGCAAATTTAACCCTTAATAAAATATTAAAGATTTTTGTATAAATTTACGTTAAAATAACGTTACGTTATCTCGAATATCAATACATATAGGTAGGTTTCTTAGCATTCTCGGCGCTTATAACGCGATTTATTTCGCGTCCCCGGTACAACGGTCCAAATCGGATTAAGACTAGAATCACTATAATCAATAATTTAAGCATTAATAAACCAAAACCAACCTTAATAAAGACTCTTCTTCAATTAATACATTTTGTCGGTGATTGAATGGATGTAGACATAAATCGGGCAATAACAATTAAATCTCTTAATAACCCATCTGAATGACGGATGGCTAATTAAATTCCGTTACCGTCTCGCGATTCGTTTCTACGAATTCATTGCGACGGCGAGACGTTCGAGCAAATTTGCCCGAACCATTGCAAATCTGTTTATTTTAAAAAGATTAGGAATAGTACGCGATAACCTCGTTATAAAATCAACGCCAAGGTGCGATTCTCTTTTAAATCTGTCATCCGTATACGATAAACAAACTCCACGGATCATATAGTTATTTCTACCAGAATTACCACAGACTTGAATATACAAATACCTTATTAAAATGGCATTTTAATCATTAAAAATAATAAATAGCAAGGTCGAGGATGACACAGGGATTTAAATAAAATGTCGGTAAACAAACTTAAGAGATATACCACTTGTAATCTCTAATCAGGACCCTTTTGTTTGATAAATAACTAAATACACACTGGATAAAGCACTTCTCGAGATCCTTTCGAAACGAGAGTAAAAAGGGTCCTAAATGGAAGGTGAATTGAACTTTAAGGCGATATAGATTCGGTTCAGATGGCACAGTGATGATGGCATCGGCGTTAATTGCAAAAACTTCCGGCAACTAGGCCACGTAGGGGACGCCCCGATGTTCGTAATTTCGACCCCGATGCATTTGGCATCGAGCCAAATAATTTTTCAAGGAAAATACCCAATAGCATCCTCAGTTAATATCTTGTATTTCAACGTTGGTGTAGCAAATGCAGTTTGCAAACTACATATTCTAAATCGAATACGTCAGCGTTGAATTCGCCCTACCGGGATCAAAAGGCTTTTTCCAGGTAGATATAACCACCGTAAATTTAGGTTCGAATGGGAGTTTAGTATGCACAATTTATTCAGACGAGCAGGTAGTTGTAAGAAGAAAGGAATTGTTCGCACAGTAATTGGTGAAAAAACAGGTATATAAAGGAAAAAATAATGCGCATTCGCAGTATGGTATACATGTTTCGATTGCGCAGAAACATTCCTGCATTACAATCGTAAATAATTATCTTGCATGTGCCACTGACTTACTCATTGATTGACTGACGATTTGAGAGCTTTGTTTTGGTAGATCTTGGTACATTAGGATTAAACACCCTATCACATAAAATTTGTAGTTTTTAAGTTTAAAATATTAATTGCATCATTAACATATTTAATAACATTCGAATAAGAACAATAGAACTAACGGTGCGACACTTAAATCTATTAACTTGTTTATATGGTTGCGATAAAAATGTTAATTTTATTCCCACCGGCCAGACTAATAAAGAAGATTTTAAACAGCTTTAATGGGGAATTAGCTAGAACCGCTTTACATTTTGCTGACGCAATTTTTTTCGGCAAATCGTGAATTATTTACAATTCGTAATGCAATCGTTTTCGCAAACAAATTCGATTGGTTTTTATTATTTGTAAGTACTTGTTAAAATACGGCGTATTAAGTAATTAAATAAATAATGATTTTTTTATTCTTTATTAGAGAAATAGAATCGACACTGGAAAGGTGATAAGTAGAATTTACTAAGAAAAATTGATTTGAATATAGATGAGAGATTAGTAAATTGTGCTAAAAACATTAAGAAATTGTCACATGAATAAATATTTGCAATAAAAAAGTAAATACTCCATCAGCTCTACCTTTAGGCTAATAAATATTAGTATTTTGATTGAAACCCCATTTTTTAACACCATTCCATTGGCAATCTGGCCACCAAAACACTTTTGGAAATCAAAATACTCGCACAGTCCACCAAATAAAACAAAAATTTTGCTTTGAGTGCACTTTCAGTGCGCACTATTTTACCAATGGAAAACGCCATCACTTTCATTCGAATTTTTACATCCCACGATTTAAAATCCAAGCGGAAGCTACAATTTTTTCAACTTCCAATGAATTTCATTGATTAAATTAAAAAAAGAAGAAACGTATGGTTTTTCAATTGTCTTCCCATGGAATTCCATTCTTTTCAAAATACTATAGTACTACAAGTAGTAAAAAGCTTTAAATTATTGACAAAGTCGCTAGCTGGCTCTCTCATTGGTCGTTTCTTCGCGATTTTTCTTTATTAGAACAGCATCTGAACTCTGCAGGTCGATAGGATCAAGATTTGAAATGGAATTTTTAAAATAATATAAAAAATCCCTCATAAACACACTGTACGTAGAGACTTAAATCACGCTTTAGTGCATTTCAATATCTCCTAAATCTAATCTGATTCTGTACGGTTGGCTACATTTGGGTCCAAAAAGTTCCAAGAGCGATCCCAAAGAGCAAAGGAACGAAAAAAACATTTATAAAATTGATTTTATTAATCGCGGGTTTTCTTAAATCCGCCGAGCGATATACATCAAGCGGAAACGTTTGAAATTTCCAACACTACTTCAAAAAGTTTGTTTGTACGCCCGACTTTTATTAGTTTCCGATAAGTAGGTACACATTTATAAATATCTCATGCGCACATTTAACGACCTCTAATTAAATTATACCTTTAAGAGCTAAGCGAATGTTGTTTGCTAAAATTTCGATGTAAACATCCACCAAGAAAATAATATGTAGAAACATACATGATTATTATTAAAAACAAGCGATTAAAGAGCGAATTTTCAGTTCCCGTCTTGGCTTACAGCTGTCTGCAAAAGTAGCCCTGAATGGTTACCTCCAAGGCCACCGACCGGTGCAGAGAGAACACGGGAATCGAATTTCTCGTGACCTTACGTAACACTAATCCTAACCACTCATTCCCCGATTTATTCCCCTTCATTTAGCGTAAATACAAAAACATGTTATGAGAGTATCGAATGTCGAATATGAAAAATATACGAATACACGGTGAGCCAACGAAACTAATCATTATTTTTACGCGAAAAATTTTAAGTTGTAGTTAAGTAGTTAAATGTATCGGGTTGTGAAGTGTAAATTTAACTGACACTGAGTGTAAGTGATGTCTATAATTCGAGCGATTCTGTTTGAATTTGCATTTATTATTCGTGCAGGTTGGTTGATAAGGGTCTCTACACCTTCGTAAATTCACAATTCATGTACCTGGTAATTTATTGATAAAATGGTCTTACCGTTTTCGCGTGCAACTTTGATTTCTTCATGCTGGCTGCGCGTAATTTCACAGGACAGTTCCGTTTCTACCATTGTTTCAGAGACCACTCGGTAATGGTGGCTCTGAAAAAAAAACCAAAAAGTTGATTCAAAATTCGTACAATTTCAAATAAACGATTATCAACTAACTTCTTTCTACACCTACCTACCCACCGGTTTCTACCTTTCTCGTAGTTCAACCGGTTAATTGGTAACTATTTTAAAAAGACCAACCGATTGTTACACCAGCCAAATTAACTTTGCTCGACCATTTCATCCATAATTCATAAACTTTTAAAATTTGTTAAACACCTAATGAGTTATGGTTTATGTAAATAATTTATTACACCGCAAGTGCTAAAAACTCGACTAGATTACATTTGTTGTAATAAGTATTTTTCGAGTTTTTAACGAGGATTTTTCTTACTAAACATATTCTGTAAACACAATATACAGATTGTTCTATATTTATTGAGATTAAATTAAACATTACAATTTCTAGTTCTCGAAACTTCTGTATTATTTTTTTGTTCTCATTTTAATTTATTTTTTCAGTTTTTAAAATGCAGCTCATTTTAGAACGGTCTGCAGACGCAAGTTAATAATACACGCTGGCTAAATGTGGTGAGACTTGGAAGGCTAAATTGAAACAGAATGTGAATTAGGCAAGAAAATTTCCCGGATGAATGGAAATAATTTGATGAGGTCAATTAGAAATTCGGCTTTAATAGGGTCGTTAGCGAATAGCGCGAATAGTAGAGGAATCGGGAAATTTTCGCACAAATAATTTGGAACATTTGCGGATATACAGGGTGGTGCAATTAATTCTTAATGAAATATAAAGGTTGTTTAATAGGTGAAGAGTAAAAAGGAATAATAATGAAGGTCAAAACTTTATCGGTACATAGTATCACATAAGCCCGTGGTTTCGATACAGCAATAATTTTTCTTATCAATTTTTGTTATGTTGTTTTGGCAATTGTGGTTTATAAATATTTTTAAAATAATTAAGCGAAATTTATTTATACATTATAATAAATTCGGACAATGTTATTATCATTTATTAGCGTTAATTATTCAAACAAACTAATGCTTACACCTACATGAAAAAAACTGCTAAAATTTAGAATAAACATATGTAGGTAAATAATTAATAAGTTGCAAAATAAATGACTAAGGTGCAATATATTAAACTTTGTATAGTGGAATTTATCTTGAGAATAACTTTGTTCATTTTACGACAAATATAAATTATATTTTTTAATTACTCCAGTACTCAAAATAACACTTAAAATTTGCCAAAAAACAATCAAAACAAAAGCAAAACAAACAAAATAAAATCACAACATAACCCCCTGGTAACAGGCCATAATTCACGCTATATAAAAAAATCATTGCACATCGTTATCGCGTGTTGCACGAAAATTCAAAACTTTCGATAACCGGACAATTTCGCACAAAGATGACATAAACTCGTCGCGAGTCTTCGTAGCGAACCCATTATTTGGAATAGAATTTGCCTAGAATTAAATGGCTCACCTAGGCATGCGACAAAAAACTCAAAAATTTTTTCACAACGAGCACATGCACGACTTTTGTACCAAAACACGTCGCGATTTCCACCAAACTAAACGCTTCGTAAGGTTTCGACGTTGCAGGAGAGCGCTCGGCTGTTCTCGGCAAAATTTGTTGCTTCGCACGTGACGGAAAAGTAGAGGTGAGATGTACCGTTTCTGTAACCGTTAGATTGAGATGGGAATTACTAACTGTTATTTAACGACATCAAATTTTAAAAACGTTTAGATTTATACATGAGGTAAAATAAAATTACACTTGATTTTGTATCGATTTTGGGTAACAGTAAAAGGAAATACATCCAAAAAGTACCATAAATCTGGTATACAAAGAAGAAAATAGTTGACACCAAAAAATAGCTGACATGATAGCGAACTGTCATATGTCATTTTCTTATCGTTCTGTTCCGTTGTCGTCGTTCTTTCTGTTAGAAGTTTGTGAAGCTTATGGCCAATTAAATCACACGATTCGAGTTGGCTTTTGGCTTTGTAAACAATCCAGTGGAAATTTACAACGTATTGTAATTTATTCTTACTGTGATTATTTGTGCAAATAAGCATAAACGAGGATTGTGAGATTTGTTGATTTTTAATAAAATAATCCGAATTAGTATACTGTGCTACCATCTTTGGAGAAGTATTGAAAATGATGGTATGTAACTTTTGGGACATTTGAACTATTGTAGATTACTTTTTTTTCTTCTTTCTGTTAATGATATTCAACTTACTCTTAAACTAGTTATTTTCGAAAAATTCAAACAACTTTCGAAATTGTTTGTATTTTAATTAAGAAATTAAGAATTAAAAAAATAATTACTCTTTTCAGAAACTCTTCTCAATAATTTCTTTATTTTATTTCTATTAATATAACAATAAAAATAAACATAATAAAATTATTATCAATTTTCTTAAAAATGAAAATTCGGATTAAACTTACGAAAATTTATTCGTTATTTATAAATTTACTCGGAATTCTAATCATGTCACAACATTTATCGCTATTGTTTATTTAAACACTGCAATATCTTGTTATTTATTATCCAATTATTCACGAATATTCTTAGAATTCTTTTAGATTTAGATCAATATTCACGATGTCGAACATTAAAGAAATCAAAGCAGCAGTAAGAGATGAAATTTCGAAAAAAGTAGCGAATTTATCGGCCGAAGAAAGAAACAGGCAATCGGAAATTGTCAAACGAAAGGTAGCGAAAGTGGAAATTTTAAACAAACATGTGATCAATTCGTTTTGCAGTTATTCGATTTACCGGCATTCAAGAATGCCAAGCATGTTTCTATCTACTTGAGTCTCGACACAGAAATAAACACTGAACCTATTTTAAGGAAGCTCTTTGAAGATGGAAAAAGGTGCTTTGTTCCCAGGTAAGTTTTGTACTAATTTTCACAAATTTTCTACTTCTTAAATCGCATAGATATCGCAAAGCTGGAATGGAAATGGTAGAATTACATTCCATGGATGACTGGAATACTCTACCAGTAACTAAGTGGAATATCAAACAACCTTCATTTAAAGATCAAAGAGCTGATGCTTTGGATTTAGGTAAACCAGCAACTTTAAATTTATAATGTGTCTATAAAAAACGATAATATTGTAGGTCTAGATTTGATAATAGTACCGGGAGTCGCTTTCAGTCCCACTGGCAACAGATTAGGCCACGGAGCCGGTTACTACGACAAGTATTTGTCCAAAATAAGCAAACAATTCGATAAATTTCCCATCTTGATTGCTCCTGCGTTCAAAGAGCAAGTTATCGACAACGTACCAACCGAAGAGACTGATCACAAAATCGATGTAATTTTACACGCCGATTAAAAGCATAAAATAATAAATTTTTTACACGTACTTTCACTAAACCAGACCTTGTAATTAACTCATTTATAAAACAGCCAGTTTACCGTCGAGCGTAAATCAACAACGATGATGAATACATTTAATAAAGACTGTAATTATCTTCCATAATATATTATGATTGATTGATGATATGGATTAGTGTATGAAACGAGAGTGTACCCATTAATTCTTCCAGTATGATTCGATACACAAATCGACAAACAGTAAACATGAAATCGGCGGTTATCTTACTAGCAGCGTCTTTAACCTTGGTGACTGGTGCGCGTATTTTGTGCGTCTTTCAAATGCCTGCCGTCAGCCACCAGCGAGTGTTCCAGCCGATATGGAAGGAATTATCGCTGAGAGGTCACCAAGTGGTAGTGGTGACCCCGAGGCCCCTGCGGGACGCCTCTCTGGCGACGCTCCGAGAAATCGACGTCAGCACCGCCAATTACGAGATAATCAAGCGGCACGGTTTCCAATTCTACATGAACAAAATGCACGCGGTGCACACGAAGATACCGAAGATATTCGCCATGCACTACGAGTTTGCCGAGTCCGTTTTGGGCAACAAAGAGTTCATAGAGGTCTACAACAGCACTGAGGAGAAATTCGATTTGGTCATCGCACAGACTTACATATCGCCTGTACTGTACGGGCTGGCCGCGAAATTCAAAGCGCCTTTGATAGGGGTTTCCTCCATGGGGGGATACATTGGCACACATTTCGGCATAAACAACCCCCATCATCCTGCTATGTATTCGGAGATGTTCTTGCCCTACAACGGTCGTTTAAGTTTCTACGAAAGAATTAAAAGCACACTCTATTATCTGTTCGCGAGGTTTTACCGAGCATTCGTTATTCTACCCAAATCTGATGAACTGATAAGGAAGTACTTAGGCGATGATATACCTCATATAGAGGAAATCGAAAGGAATATGAGCTTGCTTTTACTGACAATAAATCCTTTTTTGTACACACCAAGACCCACTATCCCAACGATAATTCCTTTGGAAAACATTCACCTGCAACCCGTCAAACCTTTACCTGCTGTAAGTACTATTATCTATTTTCTTCACGACCAAATAGTTAATATTAGCTCGTATTTATAGGAGTTAAAATCATTTCTGGATGAGGCGAAAGAAGGAGTGATATACTTCAGTTTGGGATCGAATGTTCAAAGTGTAAACATACCCGATGGGGTTAGAGACACGCTGATTGCGGCTTTTGCTGAATTACCCTACAAGATTCTCTGGAAATTCGAATCTGACGATTTGCCCAACAAACCCGAAAACGTCTTCATAAAAAAATGGTTGCCTCAAAACGATTTGTTAGGTAAGTATCTGCATCTGCGCACTTGCTCTTATATTACAAATTAAGTACATTTTTCCAGCACATCCGAACATAAAGCTATTCATCTCGCAGTGCGGGCACCAATCCTTGGAGGAAACTCTGGCTAGAGGCGTTCCTATCGTGGCTTTGCCTTTCATAGCAGATCAGGAAATGAACGCTAGGCGATTGTCCGAGCTGGGCGTAGCTGTAGAATTGGATTTCGAGAATCTTACTAAAGAAGACGTAAAAGCGGCTGTGTTAGAAGTAGCTGGTAATCCCAAGTAGGTTTTCCTTACACGATCCAAGTGATTATCAATAATGCGTTGATGTATATTTTAGATACAGAAGGAACGTTGAGAAATTAAGGGAGATTTGGGCGGATCATCCGATGAAATCGATAGATAGAGCTGTTTGGTGGATAGAATATGTTATAAGGCATAATGGCACTGAGCATTTGAAAACACCTTATGCGAATATTCCTTGGTTCCAGTATTTATTATTAGATGTTATTCTGGTATTTTTATCAATAACATCGATAATTTCGTACTCGTTATCAACCGTTGTAAAGTATTTATCTACGCTAACTACAAAAAAATTGAAAACAAACTAATTTTAATCAAATAAAACACTAATTGAAATCGACAGTTTTATTTCCAATTAGTAACAATTTGGTCCAAAAATTATTATTACCGATGTTTCATATTCCTCCAACACCTTCAACGGTATCCAATATTCCCCAAATTGAACCAAACCACCTCATCCAGTCCATTTAGTACCTTCTATCAGAGATCATCTCCATCTCCAGCACCGAGGCAACTAACAGGGACCAGGCAATATCGGCTCGTTTTGCTTGCAGCACGGCCTGAACTCCGTGCAAGCGGCCATCCTATCCTCGTCGGTGTAGTAAACGTCGATGTTCTGGTTCCTGATGCCGAACGCCTGCCCAACCATGCATTTCTTCGGCAATCTGGCGCAGTAAGCGGCCGGCCCGGGCGAGCAAGGCACCGGCGGCTTGGGGTAAGCCTTCGACATCATCGTGTAGCGAGGCTCCCTGCTCTTGTACCTGATGACGCACACCGCCGGATACGGCCCGGGGGTGAGGTCCGGGCATCTCGGCTTGTACTTGTGGGGCCTGAAATGAAATCGTGGACGTGGTAAAACGTGGAGATAATACAGAAGGTAACAGATGCTTACATGGTGTACGCTGGCCAGTTGTTGGGGCACCTCTTGATGCAGTAATCGGCCGGTCCGGGCGTTTTCGGCACGCAGCACTTGTATTTGCGGGCCATGGTGTAGGCCGGCGCCCTCGGATGCGCCCATTTCGGGCAGTACTTGGGGCCGGGCACGCAGTCGATCTCTGAAAGGTGTGTGTCCCGTTAGATCGGTTGAACCAACAAAATAGTGAAACAAGCGTATACAAATGCGAAAAAAATTTATTGTTGCAGTTACATTTTGTTTCGTTATTTTGCTATAAATTACATTCCTTGAACGTGATCATCGAGTTCCGGACCTCTATCTCAGTGCGGTCCATTTAATTTACATAGACTCTTAAATAATGCAATAAGTGAATAACGGGGATATAAAGGCTATTTTCGACTATTAAGCGATTAACTTACTGGGTGGTGGGTATTTCCTCTGCATGGTGAATCCTTTTGGGCATGGTGGTCCGAACCTGGTGGCTCCCTGAAGGCAATACGCTGGACCTGGTCCTATCGGGCACGGTTTCGGCACCTTCGTCTTCTGCTGCATGCTGAATTGCGGAGCCCTGTCTTTAGTGAAGTCATGGCACCTGTATCCGGTGAGAGGCCTGAGTTTGTACGCTGCGGGACCGGGTCCTGAGACAAAATAAATAATGTTTAGAGACGAGCGTGCACATACCTATCTTGGAAACTTACCTGGATTGACTCTGGGCATGTTGGAAAGTTGCGGTGAAGATTTAGATCAGTTTGAGGAATATGGAGAGTAATTTAACAATAGTTTTTAGGCCAAAATGTTACTTAACATAAAAAATTAGTGGAACCCGATGTTTGGGCTGAAAACTGTACGATCTCAATGACAGATGGACAATTACATACTTGATGCTGTTTCGATGGTAATTGGAATGTACGGGATGTTCTTTTGACTGATACCTGTATAAAAAAAATATAATAAAATACATTTTGCGTTTCTTGTGATTGCGAGTGAACACATTATGCCTGTTTATGGTATAAAAAGTACCTATTGAAATAAAACCAGGTCATAAACATTCTGTAATTTCCAACTCTTGTTAGTCGAAGAATAGTATCCATTTAAGTACATCTACTTGTTTTTAACGTTTAAGATGTTTGCGTGGATCTGCGTTGTGTTTTTATTGCTAATTTTTCATGCGTATAAGAATAGAAAATATTATCTTTTATCGTGGAAATTAAAAGGACCCTTCCCCTTACCGATTATTGGAAACGGTTTGAGTTTCCTTTGTGAGAACGACAGTAAGTATTATTCATTTATTATTAAAATCTATAACGCTACATTTGTTTGTCAATTTTAGATTTGTTAGATAAAACTATTGAAATTTGTAACAAATACCCCAGCCCATTGAGATTATGGTTCGGTCCGAAATTTACTTTAGTTATAACAGATGTTACTCAAGCTCAGGTATCTTTTTAACAAATTCTTAATTAACTATTAGATTCTTTCAATTTATTATTTTTAGAAAGTAATGTCTTCTTATAACTTCATTACGAAAGATCCAGATCTTTACAAGTTCCTGGAACCCTTTGATGGCAAAGGATTAATCACATCGTCAGGTAGGTCACTTTTATCCAGAATTGTGGGGATCATTTCGAAAATTGTTTTCCAGGTGTTAAATGGAGAAAAGACAGGCGACTAATATCCCCTATTTTCGCGAAGAAAAATATTTTGCAATATTTTCCAACAGTCCTTGAACAAACCAAAATATTGATAAATGTGATGGAATCCTGCGTTGATAAACCTGCGTTCAATATTGAACCGTATATTCACAGATGCGCTGCAGACATTGTTAATAGCAAGTTGTCTTCTTATTATTAAACATTTTTCTGTAAATTCTTTACTTTTAGGAACATTTTTGGGCGTTAAAACGGAAGCTCAATTCGGTAAAATGGATCGGTTTCTGTGGCTTCTACACAGGTAATTCTAAGTGTGATTATAAGAAAATACTTAATATTAATTCGATATTTATATTCAGGATGTATACAATTATTTATGCAAGAATTGTAAAAGTTTGGTTACAAAATGACGTTCTGTTTCAATTCAGCTCCTATTGGAAGGAGCATGAAGAGGGAAAAACAGTGATTTTAGGATTTATGGACAAAGTGATTGAAATTAGCGATAAAAATAATCAACAGTCAAAATCATTTCAACCAGTCATCGAACAGTTAAAGAGCATGAGGGACGAAGATGCAGGTTTCTGCACCCATCAGGATCTAAAAGATCACCTTGTCACCTTATATTCAGCTGTAAGTAATTGATTAAAAAACAGCGAAATCATTTTAAGAAAAATTTAAAGTAGATTTCAAATTTTATATAGTCTGAAGATACTGTAACATCAATCGTTTCGTTCACTCTTTTGCTTCTTGGCATGCACCCGAATATTCAAGAAAGGGTAATTGAAGAAATACACACAACAATTGGCGATAAAAATAGCAATATCGACGAAAATAATGTTAACAAACTGGAATACCTAGAGATGGTAATTAAAGACGTGCTGCGGTTATTCCCTATTGCAAGTTTTATAGTAAGGAAAGCAGAGAAGGAAATTTGTTTGTATGGTAAAAACTACTCATTTCTGCTTGATAAGTTTGGTTAAATTAAATGTTTTTAGGTGATTGTTGGATACCCGCTGGTTGTTCTGTAATAGTATCGATTTACAATATCCACAGAGACGCAAAACACTGGGAGAAACCCAATCAGTTCTACCCGGAGCATTTCCTGCCGGACACCGTGCGATCCAGACATCCCTACGCCTTTATGCCCTTCAGTGCAGGCCCCAGAGGCTGCATCGGTGAGTAAAACAACCCTCAACCACCCCAAAAATATCTCACAAACTTCTCACGCAGGAAAACCATTCGCTTACATGACAATGAAAATCATGCTGGTAACCATTCTGCAACACTTCCAAATAGAAACCGACGAAAAATTCTCCAATCTCCAGCTGAAAACCGACATCAGCATTCGACCCAAAAACGACCGATTTCCCATCAGACTGCTACTAAGAAAATAACGCATCCGTTAAAACACTCTTTAATAAAACTTATCAGTACAAATTTAGTTTCGTTACGATCAGCACCCTGATCGTTTGATCGTAGGCCGAGGAGACCGCCAGGCCCATCTTGTCCACGCACCAATCGAACGCTGTAATCGGCTGCTCGGAGACAGTCGCGTTCTGGAGATTGGACAATTCTCCAGCCACGCCGTACGGGATACCGTCGGCGTCCTTTTCCACTCTTCTATCGGGGTATATGCTGTAAAAGAGCGAATAATTTACTCCATTGGATCAAAGACGGCGAGTAGAATGGTTTAATAATGTACTTTTGATCTTGCTTGAGGTTAATGAAATTGATAAGAATTGGAAAAACAGGGAAATGTGGATTACTGCAGTTTCTTATTTGAAGCAGGTTTTAGGAAAGATTTAAGAAAGTAGCCTTAGGAAACATTCAAGAGTGGTCAGGGATTAGGGAAGGATAAAAAAGGATCCTTAGGAATGCTTTAGGAAAGGTTAAAAAGTATAAGAAAGTTGCCTTAGGAAAGTTTTACAGAACAGTATTAGGAGGGTATTGGTAAAGGAGCAGTAATTCTGGAAGAACTCTTAGAGAAGCTAGAAGGAGCATTGAGTAAGCTTTATGAAAGGGAGTTTGAGAAAACTTTATCTACTCACTATTTCCATAGGCACAAACTACCGGTTCCGCCTGTCGTCATGAAAATCTCTCTATTCTGGGGCAAATGTTTGATGCTCCACACTGTAGACTTGTGAGCCTTTTCGGTGACGCAAGCGAAGCCTTTCTTGGGATGTTTGGTCCTCACGTCGTAACAGTAGATTTTCGATTCTAAAGTCGTTGCTACCAGCTTATTCATCGTGATGTTCTTTCTATCGAACTGTAGCCCTACTACCTGCGATCCAATTTATTAACATTATATTTGTTATACGTAGTTGTTAATTAGACTTACTCCGTTTTTAACGCATTTGGACCATTTGAGCTTCATAGCCTTCAAATCGTATATTTTAATATCGCCGTTATCATATCCAGCTGCTACAACTCTCTCTTCGTTATTGTAGGAGTTACCGAAGGCTACTGACCAGCAATCTCTCGCCGAGTTTTCGTCCGACGGCACGAATTTGGCCACTGGGGTGTCTTTTTGGCGCACATCCCACACCATAACAGAGCCTACAATTATCTTTATTAATAATGTCTTAATAACATCTTTATGAACTCACCATCCCTGGATCCTGTGACGATTTCCGGTGCTCCGCATCCGGAATTTTGACCTGCTACGCCATCTATTGCGTTTATTATAGATCGGTGCTCGGTGGTTTTGTATATGGGCCAAATCGAATCTTCGAGATCCCTAAATAACAGTGAAACTTAAGGCATTTGTAATCTCACCAAAGACTTACTTACTCACCAAATTTGCAAACGTCCGGAGAAATCCCCGGTAGCCAAATGCCTGTTTCTCAAGCTGGAAGCGTCGAAAGTGCAACACTTGAAGTGGTCTTTCCTGGTGAACTCGCTCACTTTTTCCAGACCCTCGCCGGTCATCGAGTATATTTCTACCAAGCCGGCGCCGTTGGATTTTCCTCCAACGGATACGAATTTCGCCGAGCAGGGCACCCATTTGACGTCGTGAATCGAATATTCCAACGATTTCTCGGCATGGCAAATTATCTGAGGCCTTTCCAGCCTATCCATGCTACTGGCACGAAAAGCGTCAGTTTGATTCTATCGATCAAACGTCAGAATTACCATGGTGAGAATAATTATTCTACTTATCGTGGGTGAGACCCGAGGATTTTTCAACTGCTCTTTAGGCAACCTGGAATGTCCGTAGGTAATTCTGTTTACAACTCGATAAGAACTGGACTTTATTTAAAAAAAACCTCTTGACCCTTGCTCGATATGAAACAATCCTATATCGTTGAATAATAATTAATATGTAAAGTAGCAATGGCGAGGTTACTGCGGAAAATTATTTTATCCACTAAGGCTCCAGCGCCTTCGCCTGTGTATAGGTAAATAACATTTTTTCATTTACCAATAAATTAATTTTAAATGTTAATAGAAGCAAAATATAAAAACTATTTGACTCAACATTCTTTTTTGAGTCAGTAAACAAAATAAATCTGTGGGTATAAATCTAAGGGAGATTAAAAAAAAGACCAAAAGACCATCATCAATTGAGTCTATTAAGAAAGTTGACTCAAGTGACTTAAGTGAATTGACTCATTCAAGTAAATCGACTTTATCAAGGACATCAACTCTATCAATAGAACTGACTCTATCATAAGAATATACTGCAGGTACAAATGTTTCTGTTTGTTTTTTAGTCAAGCTGTGTCTTTCAACAATTTAATTTACCTGTCTGGCTCGCTGGGAGTAAATCGCGACACGAACAAACTGGTTCAAGGTGGGGCGACTTCCGAAGCCAAACAAGCTTTAGAAAACATTAAAAATATTTTGGAATCCGGCGGTTCCAAGATTGACAACGTAATTAAGGCCACTGTGTATCTCAAAGACCTCAACGATTACGCTCAAGTGAATGAGGTTTATCAGCAATGTAAGTTTATTTTTAAATATGTTATGGTGTTTACAAGTTAATAATGTGATGACGTCATGTTAAAATAACGGTAGATATTCATATAGTTGTTGGATAATATAAATTTGTGACATCATGGCGTGATTTGTACCAATGTGGTGGTTAATATGAAAAATAGGCTCTATTTATAGAGTAATGAGATCCTAATTAAAAAGTGTTACGCCGGATTGTCGTGATTTGTTTCTGGAACACGTTATAATCCTTGACATAATTACGAGAAAGATTGTTTCCATATAAATGCACAGGTGTTTGGCACGTGCTCTAATTCCAGTTTCACGTTTTTATTGATATTTCATGATAATTTCTAATTGAATATTAATGGTTCAATTATGTAGTTGAACGGCAAATTTTGCAGCAACTAGTCCATTTTTGATATTTTTAGATTTTACTAAGAATCCACCGGCCAGGACGGCTTTCCAAGTGGGAAATTTACCTTTGAATGCTTCAGTAGAAATCGAAGTCATAGCTGCTGTCGGAGACGTGGAGACAACCCACACGAAAATGTAACAGTTTATGAAATATATTAGTAGGAAATTTGATGAATTATTTATTAAAGTTACCTTATACCCACTTGCTGCTAGATTATGGTTCCTATTTTTTTAGGCAAAGGAACTTAGTTAAATATGTATTATAAGTAATCAGATAGGCAGTAAAAAAAACGATAATAAAAAATGCACGACAACTTCTAATCATTGAATAATTCATTTACAATTTTTCAACACCTCAAAAGACGATAAATATTTTACACAATTAATACGTCTAACAGCGAATTTAGCAAATCTTAATTAATTACAAAAATATAACAATTTTTCTGTACGTACAGGTATATTGGTTATCATTTTATACGTGTGAATTGATATTAATCTGTCGGTAAAAATTTGTATTAAAAATCTATCTAATCCGTTATTACTTCCCGCTTCGCGATGTCGCCGTTGCAATCGTGACTGATGTCCCCACCGAAAATTTCCGAACGATGGACGAACTTTTCCCGCTGGTGGTCCTTCGAATATTCCAGAGATTTTATTGTCCTTTGAAATAAAATCGCGTCCGCCGCTGCCTCCCAACCAGTAAGCGTCCGCCTGAAACAGAACCCACCACACCTCATCCATAAAAATTAACTAAGCATTACCAACTACACGTAAGCATAATCAATTTATGAGCGCAAGCACTGAAATAGCGAGAACTTTAGCAGGTCGATGGAATTTCGTACGATATTTTATACTTCTTTTTGATTGAATTCAGTTAAGTTGTAACTGATGAGTGCTTGAGAGTTCTAAAATAATTTCGTTTAAAATATCCTGCTGGTTTATCTTCCTTGGTTTTTTATTGTCGACTAAATGCAGGGCGATTAAATTTCAAATGCGGTAATTTATTCCTGCAATGTTGAAGGTTAACGTTGATTTCGCAGGGTTGCGGTGATTTTTTACAAGCGCTTTTATCAGATCGAGTTGGCACATGGGAAATTTATAAAGGCAACTTGATTGATTTTTCTTAATAAATAATTCACTCGGGCGTTTCCCTGCGAATTATCAGAAACTAATGTTTCCGAGCACTATGAATTAAAATATCCGACAGTCATTTTCCGATTTATTTAAAAAAATAGAGCAGAAGTCTCTTACAAATGTACAAATTAATCGCACTACTTAAACCCTTTCAAAGGGCAGGAGCGCTGAGTATCGGCACACTCGAGCAGCTTTTCCTCATTTTTCTGCAAAGTACCAGACTTCTGTGAAACTTCCGACTTCCTCGAACCTACCGACCCTTGCGACTTCCTCGAAGCTTCCGACGCTTTCGAAACAACCGATGTTTTCGGCACTTCCTGCGACTTCCTCGAAGCTTCCGACGCTCTCGAAGCATCCTGCGACTTCCTAGAATCCTCTGACTTTCTCGAAACATCCTGCGACCTCCTCGAAGCCTCCGACGTTCTCGAAACATCCTGCGACTTCCTCGAAGCCTCCGACGTTCTCGAAGCATCCTGCGACCTCCTCGAAGCTTCCGACGTTCTCGAAGCATCCTGCGACTTCCTCGAGTCTTCCGATTTCCTCGACGATTCCTGCGACTTCCCGGAAGCTTCCGACATCCTGGAGGACCGCGCCGACTTCGCCGACGACTCGACCGACTTGGACCCGGCGGACAACCTCACCGAATCGGCGGACACGAAGCTGCTGCGCTCCGATATGTGGTGGCTGCGCTCCGACATGCGGTGGCTGCGCTCCGACTCGACGTCGCTCCTGTACGACACGGTGCTGCGCCGGTGCGACCCCTCGCTCGACTCGACGCTGGACATCGACGAGGCGTCCGATTTGGAGCGTTGCGACGAGCGCCGCGAGTACTGCGACGGCCGCTCGCCGACGGCTTCGTGCTCTTCCGCGTGGATGGACACTTTCTTCTTCATGGAGCCGATTGAGAGTCGTTCGATTGGCTCCTCGGGGACCTGTTCCATCGGAGGTGGTTTCGGTTTGGCCGCGGTTTTTTTCGGTTTGGGTTTGTCCGGTTTTTTGGCAGGTTTCGCGGGTAAAGGTTTGCGCGATTTACTCGTTACTTTGATGACAATGTCGTTTAGAATGTTGCTGATCATGTCGTGGTCGGAGTCTTTGAAATCGACGTGCGGTATGATGGAATCGTAGTCGAGTCTGACTTCTTTGGAGTCTTTGCTGCTTCTCTCTTCGCTCAATTTGATGCTGGCTGGTTCTGAGAAGGACATTTTTTGCTCCTCTTCCAGAGCTTTCATTATCCTGCGGGTGTAGTAGCCTTTGTATGCGGCCTTGATTAATGTGGCCGCTCTTTTCACTTCCTCGTTGGTCACACCGGTTTCTCTGTAGAGTTTGATAGCGCTCCTCGCTGCTATCCTCCAATCTATCATACCGGACAGTAATTTCTCCTCGGCTTTCTTCCTACCTCTAAACTTCTTATAGGCGTTTTGGATGATCAAAGTCGCCGCTTCGACGTGCTCCATGTCTATCTTGGAATCGCTCAGCACGCGCCTGATCATGTCTACTTCTTCAGCTTCCGTTACCAGGTCTGTTCGGTCGAATTTCGCTCTGTTCAATTCCTCTTTGAATTTCTCGTTCATGATTGTCGTAACTTTATCTACCTCGGTTCGTTCCAAGCCGGTGTTTAACAAGAAACTGGCGGTTGTTTCGGCTATTTCTGTGATGCTCTGCACCAGCCTTGCTGCCACCCTGGCGTTCTCTCTGGTCAACAGCAGGGCCTCCAAGTAATCGGCGATAAAACCGTAGAGGTTCTCCGGTTGGGATCTCAGCACTTCCCTGGATATATCCGACATTAGTTCATTTAGTCCTTCTGGAACAATATAGATGCACTTGGCGTTGTGCCTTTGTAAGAGAACCTCCATTTTTGAGTAAGAAAAAAAATCGATTCATATAGGAATCATAAAAAGTTTATCGGTGAATAAAAATGTGAAGTTGACATAACCGACAGATTTACCGACAAGAATTCCGCAGTGCAATTTTATTGAACAATTTCAACTCTGAACTACTGAGAGAGCAACTTATCGTAATTGTCGATTATATGTCATATTTTTATGTAATTATAAATATTTTTATAGCATCGTAAAAAATTAGAAAAAAACGAGCAAAATGGATACGATGATTCACAAACATAGCGCCCAATGTATTTACGTCGTCCCCGAGGGTCTGAAGGAATTAATGTCGGACATAACTAGAGAAGTTTTGCGGACGCAACCGGAGAACCTCTACGTCTTCATAGCCGACTACCTGGAGGCGCTGTTGTTGACCAGGGAAAACGCCCGAGTGGCCGCCAAACTGGTGCAAAGCATCACCGAAATAGCCGAAACCACTATGGAGTTCCTCTCTAAAACCGGCATGGGCAAGGAGTCCATAGACAAGGCGATATCCATAATGAACCAGCACTTCAAAGAAAAAATCCGCGAAGAGTCCATCGCGACGCAGCACTACCAGAACGATTTCGTCGACGAGGCCAACATCATCACCACCATACTGGCAGAGGCGGCCATCGACGACGAGTACGTGCAGGCCTCCACTTCCATCATCAATATGGCGTACAAGAAATTCAAGCTGCGCAAAGAAGCTGAAAAGCAACTGCTCAGCGGCATGATTGATTGGAGGATAGCGGCGCGGAGCGCCATCAAGCTCTACAGACAGACCGGAGTGACCAACGAGGAGGTCAACCGAGCCGCCACTCTAATCAAAGCCGCCTACAAAGGCTACTACACCAGAAGAATAATGAAGAAGCTCACCGAGGAGCAGAAACTCCTGTCCGAAATGCAAGCCGATAAGAATGTCGAATCGTCCGAACCGAAACTAGGCGCTGTAGACAGCAAATCGGTTACAATCGACTACGATTCGGTCATACCCCACGTCGATTTCGATGACGCTGACGTGAAACTCGCATCTCCAATAGTCGAATACATAATGGATGTCATATTGGAGAAGGTCGTTCTATCCGAGAAAAAATCCGCCAAGAAAAAATCCAAACCCGGCAGGAAACCGCAGAAACCCAAATCGGCGCCGGGTGGAGTATCGGATACCAAGCGCCCCTCCGTCGCCTCCAAGGCGTCCTCTCAAGCCTCCAAGCGCACTTCGGTCTCCACAGCAGCCAGTCACGCCGACAAGCGATCCGCGGCTTCGGCTCGCAGCAGCGCAGCCTCCCAACTAACCTCCAGATCGAAAAAATCGGAGAAATCAGAAAAATCGGAGAAATCGGCGAGATCACATGCCAGCCAGCGCAGCTCGGTTACAGCGTCAGCGCGAAGCAGTCGCATGTCCGAGCGCAGCAGTCGCTCATCGGAGCGCAGCGGTCCGGTTTCGGAGCGCAGCAGTCGCGTGACGGATCGCAGCAGTTTCGTCAGCCGCAGCACTGTAGCGTCGGGTCGGAGCAGCGTGACCTCGAGGCGCAGCAGCGCGACCTCGAGGCGCAGCAGCCAGAAGACGAAGTCCATAGGTAGTCCGGCTGAGAGCGTGGTGTCTTCTAGGAGGAGCGTGAAGTCGGCGCAAAGCGCTGGGGAATCTCAGAGGAGCGTCAAGAGCGCAGGCGACAAATCGCCGGATCAGCACAGCAATAAATCGGGGAGACGCAGCGTTAAATTACCCCAAGAGGTGTAATAACTATACCTACTTATCGTCTACAGATACTTTTGTAACTTCTTTTACGAATAAAATATATACTGTTTTTTTTAAATGATGCTTGTTAAAAGTAATGCCTAAATCTAAACATTGAGACGAACACGTTTCTACCAAATATTATTGAAAACACTCACGTCAGACCACTTACTCCTCCTTCACCAATTCCTCCCGGCCATCGGCTGTCGCCTCCATCGTTTCTTCGGTTTTCTTCTCCTCTTTAGCGACACTATCACCGAGCATATCGTCCACGTGTTCCTCCGCGTGCTCCTCCAAATCGTCTATCAACTCGATCCCGCTGTCCTTGACCTCCATGGCGGCGTCGACGAGGTCCTCGCCAGCCGACTGGACGGTCTCGAAGATCGGCGACGCCTTGGAGGCGAACGCCTCCTTCGCCGATTCCGTCTCCGACGCCAAGACGGTCTCCGCCTCCGAGACCGCCTCGGCGGCGGCGTCGGAGGCGTTGGTCAGCAGCTCGTCCTTCTTGGCGTCCAGCTCCTCTTTGGTCGAGGCGAAATTGAATGTTTCGCTGAGTTTGCCCATCACGGAGTCGACGCCTTCTTCGGCAGTTTCTACCGCTGAGTGCATGGTTTCCTTCACTGCGTCCATGCCCGATGAGAGGGTTTCTTTCGCTGTTTCGCCGACATCTGGAAGTAAATTGTTTAAGTTTCAGATGGATGATGTTCTTTGGAGATGATGGTCAAAAGGTCAGAGCCCATAAATTTGCGCAAACCAATGATTCTTTATCATTATCTATGGAGGTTTATGTAGAGGTAATGGATAATAGTATAAATCTTAAAATTATCTGGATATTTAAGGCCACCTGTTTTCTTAATACAGCGCATTTCGTAAATTAGTTTATTTGGGGATGTTTAATTTTACATAAAATTTACATTAGATTACCGCGAGTTTTATGTTTGTGCAGAAATCAATAGTTATTTAACAATTCAGATGGACTTAGAAAAATCCTTGGTAGGTCTAAAAATACCTGTCGTGATACGATTTAAGTGAAATCCGTTTTGCGGGAGTCATAATTTATCACACTCGAAGTTATGCAAATTATTAACAAAAGGGTTATTTTACCAGCAACACGTTTTCGCTAAATGTTAATTAGTGCTGGGGTTATTAATAAATATCTTCCTAAAATAGAATGCTATTCATATCTAATATAGGCTCGATTAAAATCTTGACAAGTGACTCAACTTGTATGAAGTCTACATAATGTCACAGGATTTTTTTAGAACATGCCGCATTGAAATTGTAGTAATGCCTTGTAGCAAAATAGGAGTATTTTAAAAAAATAAATAACAGTTTGCCGCCAGAATTCCGTAATTATATGTAAATTGAAGTAAGTGTAGTATTTCGTTCCTGCGCGGCCGTAACGAGAAAAATATCAAACACAAATCGAATAAAACTATACTTTATGACCCCGTAATACACGTAGCTCACGCTATTTTGAAAAATCGTTAACATTTTGGAGTTGTAAAGCCGTATCACGCGAACTATACCCGATATTCGAAACGCCTTTAGCTAACAAAACGCCAGCAGGATCGGGCCGATTTAATATAACATTAGTATTTTCGTTTCACATAAACCTAAAGTAATATTAAAAAAAATAATTCAAGAAAATTTTATATAAAAATCCTGAAAAATTTAGCAGCGATATTTAGATATACTTGTAACGTAACTACATTATTACGTAAGTTTCCAAAAAAGCTCTAATAACCGGCTTGTGACAGGCAATTTCGCGTTATAAAAAATTTGAAATATGAAACATTTAGGAATATTTTGTATCATGATATTCTATATAATTACTCTGCCGAATGATAACAAAGAGAATAGGCGTCATTAAACATAACGCATTCGTGTTTTTACGGAGTCATTGGCATCTGACCTTTCATTTGTTAACATGCGAAAAAGATTATTAGATACGTCTAAAAAAACTCGGCAGAAATACATCAAGTCCCGAAGTGTTAATTCCACAAAATTGCGCTTCGATTTGCATAAAAAATGAGATAGCATCGCTTTTCGAGGAAAATCAAATATTTTCATATCAAAAATCCAAAATCCCAGTTTTTTTGCAAATTTACGCAAAAATAACGTTTGGACGCTATTTTCACGTCAATAGCGTAACGCTAATTTTTGTAATTATACAAAAATTCTTTATTATAAATATTACATCTGCGGAGTACTACATTAAAATTGATATCCCAACAAATCGAGTATAATTTATTAATTGCACTGCATTTCATCAATACTGTAAAATTATTCGATACAATAAAAATCGATACAGATAAGAAATATTAATAGGTAAGTTGGTAAGCGAATATACTGTAAGTGATACTAAAATAGATAGGTTCACTTCAAATGCAATAATTTTCAAAGGGCTCCCAATTGAACCAATTTATAATATTTTTTAGTTACTTACTTTCTCAAAAGGTGTAGAGAATCTGTAATTCGAAAATTTTGATAGACATTATTTATCGCATGCAAAATAAGTAAATTTTATTTACGAACAACGGAATAATTAACTTTATGGGTCACACAAAAACGGTCGTTTCTATTAAATAAGAGCGAATTCGTCCCGCCCTGATACAATCTAAAAGAAAAAAAAAACGATTTTTCCATTTCTCTGCTCGCCATTCTTTTGTGACCCACTTAATTTGTTAACAATAGAGCACCCCTCTATTTACAATCTCCAATGTCGCATGTCTGGAGTTGAAAGAAACTTCAAGAATCGAAAAAAAAGCACCCAAAAAAATTATTAAAACGCAACAAATTATAATAAGAACCAATCAGAAAGAAAACTCTTGCCAATTTCGATAAAATAAAATACATACGTATCACAGTTATAGCAGGTAAACCTGTAAATAACAAATCCAAATTATTAGAAACCTACAATGTTCGCCAATCGTTTTTAATTTATCTATACAAAGTATCCCCCGTACAAAGCGCATCTACCGCCGCAGATCCACCGAACTCACCCATCAGAGCCTTCTCGCCTTTGCCGATGGTCTCCCCCAGGGAGTCCTTGGCGCCCTCCGCCAGCGCCTTGCCGCTGTCCATGATCGGTGAACTGCTAGCGCACCCCATGATCGGAGAGAGAGTCGAGGCGACCGTTGCATTCGACGCCCGTCGGAAAACTGCCGGGAAAACTGACCGCCGGTCGGCGACTTGACCATATTTCCCTCCGGTGCCAAGGGGCCGAGCGAGGGGGTTCGTGCCGGTCGAAAGGGGGGCGGAATACGTAATTGCCGGGGACGGTTTCGTGGAATTTGTTAATTAATTAAGTGCACGGGGCGATTGTTGTATAATGCAATAATTATATATTTTACAATGTATATATTTGAGTTGAGAATTAATGTTGCTATTTATTTTTTTTGCAGTACATAAAGGACAAAGAGGCCATCGACATTACTCGAATACATTTAAATAATTTTACTAAATAATCGATAGATTTGAAGATAGTGTGTTAAAGACCTTATGAAAGGGTTAATAATCACCGCAAGATATGGAGGGTTCTAGTGGGAGTTTTTTTGCATGTCAAAAACGATAAACACTTGCTTTTTATTTTGTTGTTCAACAATGGAGTACAATAATACATACAGGGTCGGGGAGGGAATGTAATCGTCGGAGCTACGCTACGATATTGCTACATGTAAATACATTCCGTAATAAATATATAGGTTTACAATACATTCATCACATACAGTTGGCTTTATTAACATTTCTTGTATACTTAGAATTAAGTAAGATCACTTAATCAATTGATAACAATCGATATCTCAATCAAACTAATACAAAAAGTAACGTGTGTGTGTGTGATTACAATTATTTGGAAAGTTTCGGCTACGTTATTTTGTAACGTAATTATAACGTGTATAAAAATAACGTAACTGCAAAAACCCTCAGTTTCTAAGTGAACAATTAATTAATTCAAAGTGTACCTATGATTGTTTACAATAGTCTTATAAATTTATTAATTACTTTATATACGAGGATCATTCGATAAATTTATGCGCCTCTACATCAGTCATTTTTTGAAGAGATTAGTGTTCCTGACGAATTAATAGAATCATCCTCATTTCAATCAATCGTTGATAATATTAACTACGAATTCGATTAACGCATCAAATAAGTTTTTTCGTTCTAAATTCTAAAAACTAACGATGAAATATTTAGAAACTATCGATCTCGTTCGGACGAAAAAATCTTAAATTAGGCCACTACGTGGAGGTTAAAGTTCAATTACGTATGGATGGGGGGTCGATCAAAATCAAACGGTGTGGGCGATTTAAAATTCAATCAGTAACGGGGAATTCGTAATTAATCGTAATTTTATATTTCTCGGGATTTCCCCGAAAATACCGTTCGACAATTATTTTAGCTATACAATCAGAGTTTAAACGTGTAGGTACATTTATCGGGACATTTAGATTTCGAAAGAGGAGGGATATACCACAGGTACAGGATAATTCCAAATAAGAACTACAATAATTAAGCAAATCAAAATAAATGATTATCCGAAATTATTGTAGTCGGTTTTATAAAATATTTTACTAATCTAACAACATCAGTCACCAATTTTTTTGGGAAAAAATCAACTTATAAATCGCGAAATCAAGACATGCCGGATACTATACTCTATTTCCAAAATAGTAGGCACTAAATTCTCGGAAATATTGTGGCTTTTCTTATTTATTACATAATCCTTGCTCTTCTAATTATTAGTCTCCTGCTGATTTTCCCGTCAAACCCACTTGTAGCCTACGATATTTTCCGTACGCCACTGGGAGAGACCCATTATCGCAATCATTTCTGAGAATTTAGTGTCTACTATTTTGGAATTAGTGTATAATACAATTTATATCCAGCATCCCTCGTTTCACCTTCACCGCCCAATCCTAATTACAAATCTTCATCTAACAATCCATCGATTCCCGCCCTTACTTCTTGGGGCTGTTGCTGAAGTGCACGCTGTGCTGCGACACCCGCACGTCCGCCTCCTCCTGCTCGAACGAATTCTGCGCCCTGGTCGGCTGCGGGCTCACCTGCGGCGAGTACAGCTGGTGGTAGTACCTCGGCGTCGCGCCCGTCAGCCTCGAGTCCTGGCTCGCCGCCCGCTCCAGCCGGCCCCTCCGCGCCCCGTGCTCGCCCTTCCGCCGCCGCCTCGATCCGAAATCCGACGCGTTGGAGCTCCGCCGCGCCGACGCCGGGCAGTGCGAATAGTGCGTCGGCAATTGCTGAGCAGAACCACCTAAGAAACAGTAACGCTCCGTACTATTCAACTCCGAAGAGATTGATGGAATTATAGACACCAACATCTAAAGAAATCTGAATGGAAACTACCTGCTTCTACTCAGTGGAATAAGAAGAAGAGTACTGTAATAAGCCAAGCTAATCAATATTTCACCTGCGCTTTCACCCTACCTTTCGTGGAAGTTTCCTTTAGGTTGTGAGTAGAGGGCAATTTGACTGAGCACGTGTGGGAGCTTCTCCTGATGCCGCCCTCTCGATTGGCGTTTTCCTCGTCGACTCGACGCTGCCTCTTCAGAGGGCGTCGTCTGTCTTTGACGCGCAGCGTCACGGGGCAGTCCAGGTGCAGGTCCATAGCCATGGAGCCTTCGTGGCTGCAGCACGGATGCAGCGATTCGTTACTTAACCTAAAATTATGCAAATTTGCTTACACCAATTGAAGATTTATGGGTAAGAAGAGTATCCTCTACCTGTAACTGCCGGCGGTTTCGTCAACGGATAGTGCATGTCTGTGCAACAGGCCCGGATTGAGCAAAGCGCAGGCAGCGAACGTCCTCGGCTTGGGATTCGCCTTCTGAGGCAAGGGCGTGCGCACCTGCTGAGGCGACGGCTGTTGCTCGGACCGTTCCAAAGCGAGATCAGGAGCGGATGGACTTCTATTGATAGAACCCTAAAATCGCAAAGTTACGTCGGCACATAATCCGTCGATAACAGTCGGTAAACCTGTGGAAGTTTGAGCAAATGCTTGTTCTGTTGCGGTTCCAAAGCAAGGCCCCTGGAGAATTGCAGAAACGACTGCGTCAGCGCCCGCCTGTCGGTGGAACCGGTGTGACAGTGCTGGCGTTGATAGGCGTACGGATGCTGCGCCATGGTCTGCACCTGCACGGCGGAGGTCTTCAGCGAGCTGTGCCTGCTGCTGTAGCTGCCGTGTCCGCAGATGCTGGGCGGTCCGGGTCCGGTGGTGCTCAGTTTGAAGCGGGCCGGTACCACTTTGGCGGCGGAATCTCGCGCCTCGAACGTCATCACGCAAGCCGCTACCACTATGAAACCTAAAAACGCTACATTTAAAACGATTCGAGTTAGCCGGTGAGCGATTATATACCTCCGACTCCCATAACGATAGGTCCGGCGTACGAAAGATTGTTCAAATGGAAGCTTTTGGTCTCGTTCTTGGCGCGCACCGTGTAATTGGCGCGAATCTCCGGCGTGGAGGAGAGATGATCAGCGTAGTAACCGATGGTCGCCATCGCCGCTCCCAGCACCATGAGCAGCAGGCCCAGGCTGAGGGCCTTGCAGGCGTTCCACAGGCACCGGCCGTTCACCTTGCCTTTGACGACCTGCACATTCCATTGGGCACCTGAAGCAGGATGGGCCCGCCTGACCAACTCCGAAGCGCCTCCCCGGGTCCATCCTGCGCCAAGGAGTGCTCCTTGACGCATATTGAGCTCTGCACGTTAGAATTGTCGCCATTAAAACCGGTGAAAATGTGGATTTCAAAGGAACAAAAGCATCCTTTTGAAGGAACGCCGGATGGAACGCGGCTCATAATTTACTTTGTTGTTCTCGACGCGCACGAACTTTCTGAAGTATCGCATGTATCAAGATATTGCCCGTTATGCATGCTAAACAGGGACAAATGGATGTTATCGAGGTAGATGGGAAAGAGAGTGGAAAGCGTTGGGGTTTTTTGTGTTGTAAGCGATAGAGGAGTAAGCGACTTTTTCGCCTCGATAAATAGACAAGATTGTGCGGTTAAATCGAGTATGAACAAGCGGAGTATAAAGGGAACCTTTTAGAATTTAACACCACATAAATGTAGCTTAAAATTGACCAAAATAAAATTCAACCAGTATTAGATATTCTATATTATATTAATAATTTATTTTTAATTTATATGATTTAAAAACCTACTTATAAATTGTTTAATGTGTGTTAGTATTAGAGTAATAATCATATCCATATACGTCACAATAACAATCCCGTATCATTTACGAGAGAGTTTCATTCACGAAACTGCGCCGAATAATAATGAAAGGTCGACCGAGAGGCGGGCAGGTCTTACCTAAGAAACGGTCCTAGATCGGCGACGGCGACGATTTCACAGCACATAATCGTCGACAAACATCACTGGCAGTTCAATTAATAATAAAACCTCGGAATTAATTCGCGTTGCGGGAATCGCGTTCATCGAAAGAGGGTTATTCCGTTATTCCAGCATCACCCGAAGGATTCGAGCGGGCAACAGGTTCGCGCGCGCGCCCCTTCGACGGCGGCGGGTTTATCGACCGACGGGATTTCGGAAAAATCCAAACAGATGAAAGGAGAAAACATTGTGTCACTGGAAGCGTGTGGGTTTTAATGCATGTATCGTGTAGAATGCATGATTTGTACGGTGGGAAACGGCAGTATATTTCCTCTGTTGTATGGGTAGTAATGCAATTGATGATTGATGAGTTCAAATTTAAAAAAAATTGCGAGATTTTAAAAAAGTACGGCGTTTTTAAGAAAGTAAGAAAGGATTTTTGAGGCAGGCTATCAAAGGGGTCGTTAGTTAAGACATGATATTTATCATTGTGACATATTGACTATAAAACCATCAGGAATTATTTAGATTCTATAGAGATTAGATTAGATCGATAAGATTAGCCTTATAGTTTTTTTTTTGTTTTTTCTATGTAGTTCTAGCAGTTTTAGAGATATTTACCTCAAATTTGAAAACTAGATTGCTTTATAGGGCATATATTATTGGGCATATATTATCAAATGGTTTTGGAATCTACGGGGTGATACTTTTCTCCCCTCGAACTTTTTTGTCGTGCGCCGCTGATAGATTCTAAATTACAAAATAAATTTTGTTTGTTTTGTTTAGAAACTTTTTTTACCTCATACTTAAATTATACCCCATATTCTATACCAAATTTGAGCTAAATATCCCTAAAACTGCAGGAGCTCTAAAAAACAAAAAAATCACGAAATTTCAACACCCTGTAGATTGTAAATCAATAACGAAGCGTTTGCGGACATATGTTTATATGAACTTTTAGTCATGAAATATAAGCCAAAGAATTACCCCCTTTCGGATGTGCAAAAATCCATGTTTTCAAAGAAATAAGAGAGGATTTTTGAGATAATAAGCCTCTAAGCTACCAAGATCCATTATTTAACAAATAATATATCATTGATCACTATAAAACCCCAATGAATCCAAATACTGATAATAATTTTTTTACACTTTATAAAAGTATAATAAATTATTTACAACACACATACATATGTACCTCAAAATTTTAGTTTCTACAAAGGTATGTAAAATATTAAGGTAAGTAATAAATTAAAGCTTTATATGCACATCGACTTTCTGGCTCTTCTTTGTATGCGAGTAGAAATCTGAAAAGTATGGCGTAAAAATAGATGAAAAAAGAAACCACAGGACATACATTTTTGATGGTCCAGAATTGCGTCGTGAAATTGCTTTTTTCTTCTTAGCAAATGGGGTCTTTGCAAGATGAACTGCCCTCCTAAGTACACATCGCCATTGTGCGGGATATGCAGTAATTCGAGGAGGGCACGTTCGCAAAATAAAAAGCGTTTAATCCCCGGTAATAAATTCGACAGAAAAATAAATATCTAAATAAACAATTCGGCTATATTTCCTATATCAACAAGTAACATCGCTTCGACTCGAACGAGCCCTTTGTGTCATCGGAATCCGTTATACACCTACGTGCCCCCATCTGCCTATCCCAATCGAATATAAAAGAAGCAAAGCGGGATATTTTTGTTTTTTTTTTCCTTTTCGGCTTACCTCCGGCAACGGCTCGATTGGCCCGTCTCCAAATTATCCGCTCTACCGATGGATAAATAACGCGCTAATCAGCTTTACGTTGTCGATAAGCTGGAAACGGGACTTTGGGATTTTCTCACAAAGCGCCAAAATATCGTTCAAACACTGAAGGGTTTTCCATATATTGGACCTGAATTTGGCGCTTAAGACGGATCAATATTTGTGATTATAATGGGATAATTTGTTGTAAATTGTATAGAGTAAGTGCACCAAATATGGACCGGTCTTATAATATGAACAACCGCCGTTTTAAGAAGAACGTTTTTTATATCGAGTAAATGATCATCACATACTAAGCATCACTCCTCCTTTGACCTATCTAATGCTTGCAGTGATACTACGTAACAATTATCTTTCCCTCAAGAGGGCGCTAAAGTCGAAATTTGACAAGGCAATATTGGTATTGCTGAATTCTCTATAAAATTAACTCTTAAAAAATATACAACACTTGGTACTTTCCTTTTAAAATTGTAAGGGTTGTTACCTCCCACCCGCCGAGGGTTTATGCGTAATTGCTGCAATGAGGACAGGAAAGTGTCCCCTTAAAAACTAAAATTGACGTGTCTGAGCGTTTATTTCAAATGTCGATACATCTCATGATATTGGCCTTTTTCGTTTTAAAATTGCCACCATTTCTATTGCTCTACTGCCAAACGGCTCATTTGCGGACACCTGTTTATTAAGACTTTTCTGCATATTTTGGGCCATACTACCACCCATTTCATTTTGTGACACTTTTTTTGAACACCTTGTATCTACGACAGCCTTTTTTAGTTTTCTGCAACGCGCGATCTAATTTTCTAGCGAACTTTGGAAGTTTCTTAATCCAAAAAAATACTATTTTATGTGAAAGTGGATAAGACCACGAGGGAGGTGAGTCATGTTGCAATTATTTGTATTATGTTTTAATATTCTAAAATATTCCAATTTTCTGAAAAAAATAATAATCTCAAAATGAGTAAGTGTCACATTATCGACCAATGGTACGTTTTAAATATGGAGTGGCTAAAAATTTATTTTTATATTCTAGAATGGCTTCTAAAACGATAGTGAAGAAGACACGAGAAAAAAAAATTGGCTTTTTGAATGCTTCCAAAAGATACACCCAAAACAAATCACTTAATGATATTACCACCCAAAAACTTGGGAGACAATCAACATTACCGAATGAATTGGAAGATGAATTAGTCAATTATATTCTAGAAATGAAAAAATCTGGATGTGGTCCATATTATGTTCACTTTCTGAAAGTTCATAAAAACGATATACTTTAGAAAATGTTATTTCTTTCAAAGATTTGGTTTTTTTGGGAGAATTTTATTATGATTTTGTTCTCAACTAAATGGTTAAGGAATTGTTTAATATAAATAAAGCTGATTAAAATTTAAAACTCGACTTTTTATTGAGAAAAGTGCTTAGGGTGGTCCATATGTGGCGCACTTCCTCTACTTGTAAATTTATGTGCAAAAAATGTGATTGTTAAAACATTGAATAGAGTGGCTAGTTAAATAGGCGAGAAAGTTTATAAAGGATCTAAATTAGCTATCCAGTTCCAGTATGTAAACTATGGCTAGTTAATGTATTGTACGTAACAAACGCTAAACAAACTGTTGTTGGCATAAAGTTTAAAGGAAATCCGAACAATTAACCGCCTCCGCAGGGCCGGGAGTTTGGCCTACATACCGAGCCGCAAGCCCGACCGGTCGCGAAACGCCGGAGCCGTGAATTCCCAATTCCGGAGCACACCTGACTCGCGGGCCAGCTCGCGCCGTTCGCGTGCCGCCTCCAGCTGGGACTCTCGCCGAGAAACAAACCGTCGCCAAGGCGACCGGGAAAGTTTTCGCTCGCAGCGATTAGAGGCGGGCGCGACGGCCGACGGCGGCGTCCGGCCGCCTCCACCTCGCGACGCGCGCCTCCCGTCGTCGTCGGCGGCGGCGGCGGGCGCGTATCAGTCGGGGTGCAGGTGGCACGAGGTGATCAATGCGGCGGCGGCGGTAAAATGCGAGGCGCCGATGGTGACGGTGAGTGGAGGCCGCCCCCGGCCGTGGCTGTCGACCCTCGATCCGGAGCTCAGGCAGCACATCCAGAACTGCCCGTGTCCCTGCGATCACATGGGCTACGGAAACTACTTGGATTATCAGGTTAGTGCGCGCGGGGGGCACCGGAGGGGCCCGGAACGTGTTTACGTGACGGGTCGCTGGGACGATGTGCGGGGGAAACGCGGGAATGTACGGGAACGATGGGTCAACAGGCAATTAGAAGTAATGAGGGATTCCTTTTACTTCTCACTCAAACTTCCTTGCACTCGACTACCGCGAGCGTATTTTTCTTTGTTAAGAAAACACCTGCATAACTGCAATTCATTTAAACCTCGCACTCGTTTACCTCCCCCGAAGGAAATAATTATTTTACAGACTTTTTTTTTTAACAGACTGTAAGAAATAATATTATTTTACGGGATACGACTATTTGCTCGTAAAATACATTACGCTTAATTGCGGACATTAAAACTCAAAAAACCAGATAAAGCATGTCGAAACGGCCCGACCTGATTTAATAAAGCGCACTCGGAGAAAGACGTTTCATGCAATTTACGGGGAGATAACAAACTGTCGTTCCGTTTTCCGTTTCCGACAGACATAACAACGGCTCGCCGGTCGAATTCGACACATAAAACCCGAATAATGCCCGTTCGCTTCGCATCAAACTCAATTCATTAGATATATATTTCTACGGGGCCATTCGAGCGAACAGCCATGCCATTTTCTTATTAATTCTTTAGAGCTGGAAGAATGAGCGAGAATAGCGGTTTCGGTGATAAGTTGATTGTATTATGGAATGAGCCTGCGAAGTAAGCGTAAATCGTCGAAGGAAAAATGATTAAATCTTCAATCGGTTCTTTTCCACAGCAGATGCTTCAACAAAGAATAGTTTTGGGTGCGCTTTAGGAGATGATTTCGCCACCTCAAGTTCTCCTTTGGCGCATTTTAGCCTCAGCAAAATGAGGATGGTATTTTCTAGGAGTAATAATCGATTACCTATTTTCCTGCAATAACAATTCCTATCGGATAATTCAAACAAACAACGTTAAATTTATCGAAGCTTTTTCCTAATCTCAATAAAATCTCCAGACCGCAAGTTAAAATTAATCGCATGTAGAATAAACCGCCGTCGGTAATAAAAATTCCGCACGTCAAACATCTCATCTTTGGAAATTAGATTGGATAACGACGGCAATCGAACGCTCTCGCCCGACTCCTAAATTGGACGATGTGCCATTTAAGCGAAAAATGTTATACTAGAGATGTTTGACCTAGTTCTATATAACGAATAACCAGAATCGGTAGGTAAACTGTGCCGCTGGCGAAACGAATTGATAAAATACGGGCGAATCGGGATGACATACGCGGCGATCCTTCTTCGAAACGTTCGCTTATAAAACGTACCTACCAGTAGGTTATTTAATTTTAAAAATGTTTAATTAATCTTATCTCTACTCTCCACTCACTACATATTCTTTTACACTACTCTCTACTCTTTATTAACTATCGTTTCCGATTGTAGTGTCTCCAATATTATTGTTGATTATAGATTCAGCAATGCCCTCATGAATATCCAAACCGCGAAACATCCTTCAACGTGCCTCATTACTACAACGGCGTTCGAGATTACTACCATCCCTACGACTACCAGACCTCGATCGACTCGTGCTCGTGCAGCTCGGGCTCCGATGCGTCGAAGGCGACGTTCCGTGGGCCGTGGTGCGTGTGCCTGGTCGTCTGCATCGTGGTGGCCACCCTGACGGCCGGGCTGGGCCTGCCGCTGGCGCTGAGCCCCCGGGAGCCGCCGCGCACGTCCGAGGAGCGCCTGGTGCTGGTCAAGAAGCTGCTGAAGGAGACGCCGCTGATCGACGGCCACAACGACCTGCCGTGGAACCTGCGCAAGTTCACGCACAACAGGCTGTTCAAGCTGAACATGAGCGCCATCAGCGAGGAGGAGCCGTGGTCGACGAGCAAGTGGTCGCACACCGACATACCGAGGCTGCGACAGGGGTTGCTCGGCGCCCAGTTCTGGTCGGCTTACGTGCCTTGTAAGGCGCAGTATTTGGACGCGGTGCAGGTGACTTTGGAGCAAATCGACGTTATCAAGAGATTGGTCGATTATAACGCCGAGCACTTTTCGCTGGTGAGAACCACCGAGGAAATCAAGACGGTGCATAAAGCCGGGAAAATTGCGTCGCTCATCGGAGTCGAGGGCGGACACGCCTTGGGAAATTCGCTGGCTGTTTTGAGAACTTTTTACAATCTAGGTGCTAGGTAAGTTAACTAGAATTCTCTACTGTATACCCTTCACCAGTTTTGCATCTAAATTGCATCTACCTAAAGCTTTATAAAGAGTATTAGGTGCAATCTAAACTCGCGGATGTTCCCCAGATATCTAACCATAACGCACTCGTGCGACACCCCATGGGCGACAGGGACCAACACGAAGACCCAGGAGGGCCTGTCCGACTTCGGCCGGAGCGTCATCAAAGAGATGAACCGCTTGGGGATGATAGTCGATCTGTCGCACACGTCCATCAACACTGCCAAGGCGGCGCTGAACGTTTCTCGAGCGCCCGTCATCTTTTCGCATTCGAGCGCCTTCTCGTTGTGCAACTCGTCGCGCAACGTGCCCGACGACGTGCTCAAACTGGTCGCCCACAACGGCGGCGTGATCATGGTCAACTTTTACACGCACCATGTCACTTGCAACGACACTGCCACTATTCAAGATGTCATTAATCACATCAACCACATCCGGACCGTCGCTGGCATAGAACACGTCGGCATCGGCGCAGGTAATCACAATATTTTTTAGCTCTTTACAACTATTAACACTTGGCTTTTGCCAGTTAACATTTGGCTTTTACCTTCTAACATTTAGATCTTGCCTGTGAACACTTGGCTCTTGCTTGTTAGTAATTGCCTCTTAGCTTAAGAACGTGGCATGAAAAAGAAATGGTTTTATTAGCTTGGATTCGTTTAGGGTACGATGGAATAAACATGACGCCGAGCGGCTTGGAAGACGTGTCGAAGTATCCGTACCTTTTGGCGGAGCTGCTGGCCGATCCGTCGTGGACGGAGAAAGACGTGCTGTCGCTGGCCGGTTTGAACCTGCTGCGGGTGTTCGAGCAAGTGGAAGAGGTCCGCGACAAATGGAAGAGGGCGGACGTGCTTCCGCTGGAGGACGCCGTGCCGCCCATGCACAATCCGTGCTCGTCTTTGTACTCTTGACGACCGTCTGGCGGGTTTTTAGGTAACAATTTCGTCGGGTCGTCGGTTTTGTTTGGTTGGTTTTTCGCGCTAAAGCGCGACGAATTAAAAATGTCTACCATTAGAGTGCTTTAATGATTCTGGTAAGGAGATTATAGATAAAATAATCGCGCTTTAGCAGCAAAATTGAAATTGTTTGAGTAAAACATGTGGCTTTTGGATAGGATTCTGATGCAAACGCCGGCAGAAAAAAAGTGTCTGTTATATCTAAATGAATTAAACGGTAATGGGTAATTTTTCCCCGTTTTCGTTCAAATGCGCACAAATTTTTAATCATGCGTTCGCGTTGATTAGTGTACATTACATAACTTAAATGTTTATTGTAAAATTCTTGAATTCTATAGTCGGAATTTCAGTGGTAATCTATCGCTTCTGAAGCCTTAAGCTTTAGGTAAATAGGAATATTGTATGGTGTAATTTTCGTTGCTTTCCAAATCCAATCAATTCTCGATCTCTATAATTGTGTACTTGTAGCAAACTTAAAGTATTTAGGACTTTAATCTTTCTCTCTATGCTTTATTATTATTATTAATATAATAATCTTAACATTTGCATTCTGCAATTTCGTCCATTGCTACATATTTTTTACTAGTTGCCTACTATAAAATTCTATTAGTGTTCAATATGATAAATTAGAGTATACAAAATGTTATTGACGGTATTTTCAGCTTCCAAAATGTTATTGGAAAGAATACTTTTTAATGGTTCTTTGGAAGCATTATAAATCGTCGCAAACGCTTCAATATTTAAGCACAATCGAGAAATTATAAGAAAACGTCGTTTTCGTATAGTTTTCTGAGATACATGTATAAATTGTATATGTAATAGTCGTGTTATACGTAAATATCATCAAAAGTGCTGTGTACCTTATGGCGGATCTTCGAAGAAAAAATGAAGGGAAATTGGAGGAGACCAAGCATGTGTGAGAACATTTTATAACCCGTACCTTGCGAGTTGAATCAGAAGCAGTGCTATTTTTAATGTATTATTACTTTACAGTGATGCTCTACTAAAAGTTGGAAATAATTGAAGATATTGAATGACACCGGGGACTTTTAACGGTAATACAGGTAATACATGTTCATAAAATAGACGAGAGATATTTTAAAGTATTAAAAAACGTTAAAAAAAGTTTTTATAAACATGGATCCGGAAATGCAGACTGCTGTTCAAGATAAATAATGTTAAATTAAAAAAATTTACTTGATTCTGTTGAAATTTGGCAATGTTGTTTTGTTGTATTAAGAGGCTAATTTAACCCTAAATAGATAAAAATTATTAAGTCCAGTCCCTGTGATTTTTAACAAGGGACCATCCTCTAAACATCTCTGTCTATTTTATGAACACCCTGTATATCCGCAAAGGATGTATTATTGTTTGAAAGTCGCGCCGTTTATGTCTCCAGCTATACCTGTCTGGACTGTACTGAAGACTGTACTGAATTATGTAATTTCGAAAAAACGCAACATTTTGTTTGATTGAAATTTCTTTATTCCGAATATGTACGAGTCTGTTGAAAGTGTTAGCAGCATTGACCAGAAAATGTATCGGTGTTTTAACTTCAGTTATGGGAAAAAATTGGAAAGTTAATTTGTTAACTGAACTTAGAATAAGTAGGTACTTACAGAGTACGTTGATTTTCGGCAGAGGTTCGAAGTCAAGGTACTTTAATTTTTATATTCTTAACAAATACGATAAGGTATATTTGTTGTGGCTTTTTGATAGATTTAATGTGCAAAGTTGGATGTTTTAGAGATGAATTGTTGTACAACAACAAATTATAGGGAGATTTTTATTTGTACAAGAATTTTATATGTTGTTGAGTTTTTTGTGAAATTTATAGAGCACATATATGTAGATGTGTAGATATATTTTATATTGTATTTGAGGAAATGTATTTTAATAGATAAAAAATACAAATAAAGGTTGAAATTGATTCTTTGTTAAATTACGAATTTCGCCAAAACCTTTAATTAAAAAAATACCTTGCGATGCAAAAATATTTTTTATTATTCATCAATAATACAAACAAGCAATAATTTTATTAGGGTAACATCGAAAAAGGTCGTACCTACCAACTAAGGAATATATTTATGGACTTAACAAATACTATAAGCACAAAGCAATTAAACTAAATTCAATTCATTCACTTACAGACATGTTTAAAAAAATAACGTACAAATTCTCACTCGGTTTATCAAAAAAGTTTCGAAAATTTGACGCTATTTTTCAAGAAACTCAAAATAACTTATACTAAATAAAGTCTCTATCACAAAATACAAAATTGCACGTGAAATATGCATCATTTTCACGAGTAACAGCCGCTACATTTGAGCATATACTTTAAAAATAACGTCAATTAACAACACTTAACAGCGGAATATCACAAGATTAACAGAGAAATTTTTGTCCCAAAGAAAGGAATGGAAAAAATAATTTCTCATTATTATTAAGTAGACAAATGTATGTACACTCTTTATTAGAGTTATTATTGCTGATTGGTCAATAAGAATTAATTCAAATAAACTTTCAAGCAATAAAATTGCGATAAAATTACTTAAATTAAGGGAAAATAGCGAGACAAATTATTTATATTACAACGTTCTATAAATTTTTTCAAAAATATTACCAAACACCACTACTTTTTCAATAAATTAACAACAAACATCCTTAATTTTTAAAATATCCATAAAATACTCACCGTCAAAATCACTAATTAAAACACGGGAATTTGCGTATGAGGAGTATGGGACAAATCGTCATCTAAAGTTAATAAGGTCATGAAGGTGAAGAACATACCGATCGCGCTCAAAAAGTGCCATATATCGTGGTAATCGTAGAAACGCAACAGCACGCATTCGCTGTTTAGCTGTCTCGATTGAGCCGCTGTTCTCTGTAAAAAAAATATAATTTAATTCTCTAATCCCATATACAGGTTGTTTCATTTTTGATTGCTATATAGGTTATATGTATAGGCTATGGGTGCGATAAAGGCAACTTCCGTTATACACCTATAAAGGAAAAAGAAAAAGTGACATTGGATCATTGTAAGTTTTCACTCTGACAAATCTCACTATAGTAGTAATTTTCAATAAACACGAGCTCGCACAGCGAGCGAGAACTGAATATGCAACTGCCTGTGGCGAAGCCCGGGGTGGAGGGACGGAGCCCTTCACGAGCGTTCAAACCGCCCGCGAGTAAATTGAATATAGTTGTCTAAACTCACCTTCCACGAGATGGATTTGTGCAGGAAGAAATAGAGGGCACCGCCAGCGCAAAGATTGGATATTAAGAGGAACATCCATGTTAAAAGTTTCACACGTTCCTTATTAACATACTGAAAAATAGATAGTTGATTATTACAAATTATTGTATTGAAAAGGCAACGTACTTTCATCACAATGTAAAATAAGTAGTACAGTAAGGTATTGGCCATGAAAATCGTGAGGAGGAAAACGGGAAAATTCTTCGGTCGCTTGTAGAGTGCAAAAGTAGCTAAGCCCCAATTGCAGAAATTACCCAACAGCAACAGCACGAATCTCGCTAGAAAATAACAAAACAATACGTTAATAAAGCTCAACTTATGGTATTTTGAAGTTAATAATAACCTTTATGGCACGGTCGCAGAACATTCACTGGCCCGGACCAGAAATCGTATATCCAAACCTGTTTGATTCTTTGCATCGAAACATCACCTGCAGAAAAAATATTTATACCGGCAATGATACAACTTTGTACAGCACACTTACTTAATCTCCAACATCCCATATAATAAACCTTCACGCTAAGATAGAAGCACATAATGATGTAAATTACAACGAAGAACGACCAAAAGAACGTAGTGCCTTCCAATATACCAATCATAGCTAAAAATTATCACGAATAATACATCACCGTTATACACAATTTGTAATTAATTAATATAGTCGGTGCAAAATAGAAAATTCTTAGATTTTGTAAACTCTATAAAAGTTCGGCAACACTGCCTACTTATGACGTAGTAAATCATAGGTGACGTGCATTGATATTTCTTTTGCACCAACTGTATAATCATAATCTCTTACCTAATACAACAGCAATAGCTAATACACCGAAGGTCGTATAAGCGTTAGCATTGATGTCCGGATGGCGATTTTGGTACAACTTCACCATGCACAATACAGCCATCACGTACATGAAACTCGAATCTACGCAAATGATGAGCGTTATTAATTATTTTAAATTTGTAGAGTGTAATTTACCGAATTGGAAATTCAATTGGTTCGGACACACGTGGTAACTGCCGCTCAAAACGCCTTCCATTATCAGTGCTACACCCATCGCGTAGAAGAGACCGTAGTGTTGAGGAATACCGTATTGCTAAAAATAAATAAACGAGCATTCAAAAGTTGTAGAAATATTTCTCGAATCTCGAGACAACCTGTACAAAGGTACTCACCCTGTCGAAAAGGTCATCTTTATGCATATGCTCGCGCAAGTACGTTATAATGAGGAACAATACCCCTAACAAAACGTATCCTATATTGGATAGTACGTGATTGAAATCGCTCAAAAGCCCCAGCGGGTGAGCGCACAGGAAATTGTAATAACACAAGTCTTGTTGACCGGTTTCATTTAAAACCTGAAAGTAAAATGTTTAATACACCAAAAAATTCGCTTGTAATCGCTCTCTTACTCTTTGGTATGTAACTACTAGCTGTACAACGGGAAGAGCGTAGAACAAGGCCACTGTTAACACGTTGTAGAGGTACAAATAGGATCGTTTTTTCAGTTCGTTCGGGTGTTTTCTAGCTAAATCTACCAGGTAAGGCTGGCCTCTTCCTAATCTTAAATTCCTGTCGCTGTCCACTTCGTTGAGAGTATCGAAATCGGCCATATCTACCGAAGGTCCGTCCATGCGGGCGTTCGTAGATGAGGAAGTCGATGGATTTTGTGCGGTCATTTCTGAATTTATAATTACTACAATCAATAAAACGATATCGAAATGAAATCTTTAAAAAATATTACAACAAAACGGACGGATTAAAAAGTTAATAAATAGTAGTGTTAAGCTACAAGAGTGCCGCAATCGACCCGTTTTAGCGTGCGTTTCGATTGATATATGATTGTTAAAATAAATTGTAACTCACCAGTATGATGTTAGTGTTTTAGTATTGTTTTCTCGTAAGCACTTACCGATATTTTCTACAGCTACTGAGGTGTTTACTGCGTGTGATTGTGTTTCGAGTGCATGAAATTTTTAAAAACCAATGAATTGTTATTATTAGTCACATGAAAAAGTTACTCAAAAATGTAAAATCTGGTACTAAAAAACAACAAATTTAAGGAAATTGTTACTCTACGTCTTAATGCACCAGTGATAAAGGGAAAAACAAACGTTTGTGTCCAATATGGTCAATTCTATGAGTTGAACACAATATCACCTTCTTTTTATTTATATGAGACTAACGGAAGTTGTCTTTGTTGCCATAGACCATATTGCGTACAACTTTGCAGTTATCTATATATTTTTTCCTTTTTCGGATGTCATATCTTGTCGAATTTACACATTAATAACTACATGATTATACAGGATGTTAACTAATTGAGTGCCGATACTTCAGGATGTGAAAATTTGGATGGTTTTAAGAAGAAAAGTTTATATCAATATATGTCCTAAACCTCTTAGTTTTCGAGCTACAGGCTGTTGCAGTTTAAAAAAAAATCTATCATAATTTTCTTATTATAATTGTAAGTCTTATTATAGTTATAAAACTATTTATAACACACTGTAGTTCGAAAACTAAGAGGTTTAGGACATATAAACTTTTCTTCTAAAAATCACCCAAATATTCACATCCTGAAGTATCGGCACTCAATCAATTGACACCCATTTTTTTTTCTTTTCCAGATGTCTCATCTTATCTAATGTACAGATTAAAAACTGCTTGATTATATTTTACAAATGAATCAATCAAAAACTATGTAACAAAATGTACCTGTGCCATCGTTTGTGTTACTGGTGACCTTCAATCGTACGATCCCTAATGAAACAAGCATCATTAGTAGTCAATAAAATTGAAGAAACACTTCATTGGTATCGGTTATGCAGTGTAAGAAATGTGTAGCGTTAAATTTGAAGGAACGTAAATATAATCATTGCGATATTTATACGTTACATTCCCGTTATTAATCAAAGCGAAATCGCGTAAATGCAAATCCGTTACTTACGACCGCTCGGCGTCGACGAGTAGCTCTCTTCAACGTAAGCCATCTCTCTGGGAACCGTGCCTTTCACGGTGTACACGAAGTAAGGAAGCCCGAATATAACGTAAAAAGCGCCTGAAATGATTATTCTAAATTATACGATTCCTTTGTGTTTATGAAAAAATCATACCTATACAAGCTAATGTAATCAAAACGGCTTTAACATAGTCCGAATACGTGATACTCGGTTTTATGATCATAGAAATGTATTTCCTTCTGAACGGATAGCTGTTTCCATTTGCGAATCCACCGCCTTTGGTGCAAGCGTAATCATTAGCTTTGGCTACGAATACTACGTAAAACCCGTGTGGAAATTTGTATTTCTGGAACGCAATTTTTAATTAATAATAAGAATTAGAAGAATTTGCCGTAGTAAACTAACCGGAATGGTAATTCCCCCTTTACGATTGACTGTTTCGTAGAAGCCCCTGAATGTGACATCTTGGTTGGTATCGAATACAGGACACTGGAACATTCGAATTGCAATTAATAGGTCGTATTTATAAAAAGAAGCATAACATTTTGCTTTAAAAAAATTAAGAAATTGCTTGAAGGTATATGCATAAAAAGAAGTGAAGGAAGAGGTTTTGCTTCGAGGACCCTGCTGTTGTTTTAAAGCAAAAGATTTTATGTTTTCCGTATTTATAAAAAGAAGCACTTGCTTAAAAAGTAAAGGATTTGCTTGTAAAAATGGAATCTAGGTTCATAGCAACTTTTCATAATCTTTTCAGTAGTTACTCAGCCTTCACACAGCATGTAACGTAAAATTTTTGTGTATTTTTGCCGTTTTCCCAGTTTGTTATGGGACCTTTAGAACGCTCCAGAATTATCTACAACTGTATTGGATCATTTAGAACTGTTTAGAACCATTTAGAACGCTTCAGAATCATCTAGAGCTGTCTAGAATATTTTAGAACTGTTTGGAATCGTTTAGAACGCTCCAGAATCATTTAGAACTGTCTAGAATCTTTTAGAGCTGTCTAAATAAATCTAGAACGCTCCAGAATGATTTAGAATTGTTTAGAACCATTTATAGACTCGTTTCAACTAGTTTGACGAAATCGCTAATATCTGTACCATTTACTTTATTTATCCTAAGCGTATCCTTGCAAGGAAAATGTGGAGATTATGGATCCGAGATTAACCTTTTCCTCTTACCTTTTGCTTCTATCTTTTACTTCAAAGTAAATGCTTCATTTTTATAAATATGGACTATTAATATTTTATTACTTTGGGTAATTAGTTAGATACTTACGCTTATATTCTGTATACTAACAGTCATGCAAATGTCGTCTGAATTTACTTCTAATATAACTGTCTCGTAATTAGAATCCCCTTTTTTCAACAGCGTAGAATTGGTTGTAAAATTGTAGAAAAAATACCTGGAATTGGAATTGATAATTAATCACTTTTTAAATAAGCTTGTGGTAGTGTTTCAAAACTCATTTAACTAAGTAGTTTCCTAATTAAACAACTATTTACCCATCAGCACAATCATAAGAATTTTATTACACAACATAAAAATATAACTTTTATTTGTGTAAAATACAACCTATTCTTACCTTGGTTCACTTGGTGTAATTGTAAAATTGTACACGCGATTCAGTTGAATCGAAAAATTGGTCTGATGATGAACATTAACTGAAAAATGTACGGAAGTATTCGAAGACGTTGCTACAGATAATATGGGGTTTTCGTGTTGTATTTTAACTCTTCCTGAAATAAATAAAAGAAAATTAAACCAACCACTCGATAAATAATTCAAGGATATCCCCAACACATACCTTGTTTCCTGTAATGTTTTATAATATCATGGCACATTGTTCTTGAGGTATAATTGTAGATTGTCTCTCCGTCAGATCCTTCTAGTTCTAATTCTAGTGGCAACTGCCAGGACAGCATTTCTTTGGTTTGTCTCGCAACTATCATTAAAGGGGCACTAGGTGTGGCGTTACTTTCAACCCATATTCGTGGTGGAAGCTCAGAGTAACCAAAATTCTGTATGTTAAAGTATAAATATAGCAAAAATTGTATTACTAAAACATATACTCACATTGTCATCCTTGAATTCCAAAATATACTCGATTGAACTGTTAACAGTAAAATTGTACGTTGTACTGTAATTTAAAGACACTATTTCAGGGGAATAAGCCCAACAAGATTTCGATACTATTATTGCAAACAGTAAATATTGCAAAGGATTCATTTTATGGCTGACTAAGGGAGGACATGAGAAAGTTATTCTGTTATTTAAAGTTTTATGCGGTTTTTCCAGAAACCCCAACCCAATTTGAACTTGAAGGAGATAAGTGGGTGGTGAGATAAGATGATAAGAATTTGGTTAGATCAACATTCCAAACAACACTGAAGATAGGTACGGTGATATAAGACGTGTCAATTATTTATCTTCTTTTTAGTATTATAAAATGTTTTAAACACTCGATAAGTGTAAATTTTAATAAATAATCTGTATTATTATGATTTTTTAACACGAACGGTAATTAAAAAATTTAATTTATTAACTGTTGTTACTGAAATACTAAATACTGAATTCCGCTTTGAAGATGTACTACATAATAAAAAAGAAGATTCAAACTACTTCGTCAAAGTCAACTGTCAACGTCAAATACCTTTCAGTTTTCTTTCCATAATACGACAGCAATCATGGCCGTCGGTAAAAATAAGGGTTTGTCGAAAGGAGGCAAAAAAGGAGTTAAAAAGAAGGTGTAAGTACAAAAATACATTTATATTTTAATCAAGTTTAATATCTACTGCATTAATTTGCTTTGGATTTCAAGGAGTCGCCTTAGATGATTGCCATAAATGCAGATATAAATTCTTCATGCTCTCGAAGTATCAGATTCGAACTTTATTTTTTTATTAAGTATTGCTTAATGAATTGTTCACGTTAATTCAATGTTTTTATTACCGCATTCAAGTAACTAAAATCGCCAGTAACTCCTTGATTTTCATAGTGTAAATTTTTTAATGAGGTTAGATTTACATATTACATGTTGTTTATATGATGATCCACCCAGCTCGCTTTGATGTTAACTGAAGATAACTTATTTACTCTGATCTGTTCAGTTATTAATACCCAAAAATTCCACATTTTTTTCTTTATTTTACACGAGGTTTTCATTTTTAGCATAGATCCTTTCACGAGGAAAGATTGGTACGATGTCAAGGCACCGTCGATGTTCACCACGCGCCAAGTCGGCAAAACCTTGGTCAACCGTACCCAAGGTACTAGAATCGCATCTGAGGGCTTGAAATTCAGAGTCTTCGAAGTTTCATTAGCCGACTTACAGAACGACAATGATGCCGAAAGGTCTTTCAGGAAGTTCCGTTTGATTGCTGAAGATGTTCAAGGTACGATTCCCGTGCTCAGATTTTAATGTTATAATTAAAGCGTGTTGTATTTATAGGTAGAAACGTATTAACCAATTTCCACGGTATGGATTTGACCACCGACAAGCTGAGATCGATGGTGAAGAAATGGCAGACTCTTATCGAAGCTTCTGCTGACGTGAAGACTTCCGATGGGTTCTTGCTTAGGGTATTCTGTATTGGTTTCACCAACAAAGATCAGCATTCCCAAAGGAAAACGTGCTATGCCCAGCATACACAAGTAAGCACGACTATACTGTATAGCTTCAAATTAAAGTTTATTACGAGAGTTTAATGATGATACACCTAGCTCGCATTGAAACAAACATGATGATAACATTATGTTCCCTAAAACGACGCAAAAATATCTAACAATCTGAACAAACTCTTCTCATAACTTGTGTATAATACGTCAATATTCAAAAATATTCGATCTTATAGGATGAATTTTTTGTAGGTTAGAGCTATCCGCAAGAAGATGGTGGAAATCATCACCCGTGACATCCAGGGTTCCGACATCAAGGAAGTTGTGAACAAACTGTTGCCTGACAGCATAGCTAAGGATATCGAGAAGGCCTGCCAAGGTATTTACCCGCTTCACGATGTCTACATTCGTAAGGTGAAGGTGCTGAAGAAGCCGCGTTTCGACCTTTCCAAGTTGTTGGAATTGCACGGTGACGGCGGCAAAGGAGGCGCCGGTGACACCACCGGTGAAGGCGGTTCTAAAGTAGATAGGCCAGAGGGATACGAACCACCCGTACAAGAATCGGTATAATCTATTTTGTTATTTTATAATTGAAAAAGATTAAATACAGAACGTATTTAAGGCAGGTTGCCTTTTTATTATTACCTCTTAGTAGTACCTTGTTATTTTGCCTCGAAAAGATTGAAAGAATTGTAAATATATTTGTATTTAGACACCTTTAACTAATATGAACACGGAGCACTATAATTCTAAAGGTAATTAATTAAAACGGTAAATTGGTTTTAAGTACGATACAAATCAACTCCTTATTGCCAATACCTCCAAAAATGACTTCTTTAGACTCTTCTCGATTAGTTGACAAAGAATTAAATGAAAGGATATAGAAAGAAGTTCTGACATAAATACTGATATTTTTTAATTCTTACAATCACAGAGATTTAACATAAAATACACTCGTAAAATAAAATAATCATAAACATACATACAATTTTCATAAATTTAGCTTACATAATAAAAAACCGACTCTGTAGTCATTTTTAAAATCATTTTTATGATTGAAAAATTACATATTTTAAAAAGTAATAAAAATAGTTAAAATAAAGCGAAGATAAAGAAAAAACAGACTAGCTACAAAAGAAAAAAATGTTGAGTCTACAAACTATTGCAAAATATGGCATAAAAATTCACTAAGGAAAATATACAAAAAAAAGATGCAACATAGCAAAATAAATAGTTGCTGAAAATAATGATAAATAAAAATGGAAAAATTGAATATGACACAAGTTACATATAAATTTAATCTAAACTCTGAAAATCTGTTAAATACGTCCGAAAATATTTTACACTAAACTGTTTTTGGTGTAAATTATTTTAGGTCAATCTGCTATAATTTGTAAATAACTGTAATATGGCACAATCGGTATATAATATATATGGAATGACGTATTTCTTTCAAAAACTTCTAAAAAATGTCTACCAAAAGTGTACCCAAAAAGGCACCGAAATTTATATGTCTTTTCTAAGGCACTAACTATCAGAAAAGGCCTCTATTGCTAATTTTTTTCTAATCTAGAAAACTAATGTCTTTTCGCGTTATAATTTGTTCCCTATTACAAATTAAAAAATAACTATCGTTCGATTTTTAATCTATGTTAATAATTCAATTTGTACTTGTCGGAATTTATCACGGCAATTATTGAAAAATTAAATTTCTACTAATACAAATTGACTTCTCTACAATCGACTTCTACAATAGCTCTTCGTTATATAAAAAATAGGAATTTCAATTACAATTTGAAAACAAAGTTGCTTGTTTTATTAAATTGTTTAATAAATACTTATAAATTCAATTAAAAAAATCATTTAGAACGAATTAACTGAATTGTTCCTATTTTTTTGTAAGTAAATACATCATTGGATTTTCTATTTTTACAACTTTAAGTTAATTCAGTCAGTTAGTGACGAAATTTTTTTCGAAAGTAGTTTTTTATTTTCGTCTCATTTTCCGAGTTAATTGCTCTTTAAGTATACCTATATACACAAATAATTTACAAAAATTGAAGAATTGTTTTTGTACATGCACACTATATACATTATTTATAAATAGGTACTTTAATACTCACAATAGGTACGATATTTTTTTTTAAATTTGGATAAAATCTTTTAGAATGACTCCATTTAAGTTTACAATTAAAGTCCAAATTTATAAAAACAAACGCTAGGTTAATTAAAATCAAAATCATCCCATAGAAAAAAACTAATATAGTCATCATTAATATTTACATCACATACATTTCTGCCTACTACTCGCTTATATCGGATTCAAAAAATCACCTAGTCGACTCGAGTTAATTCGAAAAATAGACAGAAACAGAATTTCTCGACTCGCCCAACCCTGCCATTCAGAGTCTTCTCCAACCGGGCGGACGTTCGAATTCGACGCAATTATCTTTGTACTCTAACCGGCCTCTCCGGCGCCGAGCTACTCCAAGTGCCTGTACTTGTGCGCCGACATCTGCGCCAGCCCCAACACCGCGTACTGGCACTGCAGGCAATGGTAGTGCGTCTGCTTGCCGCTGTGCTGGCAGTTCGGCACCCGGCAGATCTGGCTCGGCGTGAACTTCTCGAACCCGGCCGCTTGGATCGAGTCCAGCTTCTGGTGCTGCCGCCTGTGCGCCACCACTTTGTTGGTGTCCGTGCAGACGAAGTCGCACTTCAAGCAGTGGAAGTGCGAAGCCTTGTTCTGCGTAGATCCTGCAGACAAACATTTTTTGTTCGTAAAAACATTTATGATGCTAACAAGATGAAGGAATTGAAAAGGACTGAAGCCTTCGTCGAATGACCCGGCTTCCTGGATGCATAAGCAGAATGAAGCCCGGCAGAGGTCTCAGTGTCTGAACCTTGGCTTGAGCTGTCTTAAGGAACAGCATTACAAGGGAAGATGCAGAAGGAAAGATGTTTGAAGCAAACGAAAACTTACCCAAATTGGCTGTATAGGTACAATCCATCCTACCGCAAGCCACGTTGGCCCGGTATTGCTGGAAATCTCCGCCCATCAGCGTGTCGAGTCTTTCGTGCCTGGCTGTATGCTGCACGAATCTCGTTTTGTCGCAGAAACTGTACCCGCAATCCTGCCTTTGGCAGTGGAAATGCGTCTGGTGCTCCCGATACCCGCAATGCTGGTACTGGCAATCTTCGTTAAACCTACAAAAATAATTTTAATCATATCGTACGGACTGTAAATTTCTCGTTTCGTTACCTAAATCTTAGGTACCCTTCAGGAACAGGCTCGTCTTTCAATATCCTCATCGAGTTTTGTATTCTCGCTTTCTTTGCTTCGGGATTCATATCGTGAGGGCTCAAGGCTCTCTTGTTCAAGTTGGCGGCCATCGCGACTAGAGGACTGGTCATGTTTTCGCTGGGATAGGGGTTCTGAGGCGCCAGCAGAGGGCTCTGCATCAGCTGGGCGTGCTGGAACATCAGCTGGTGGTTCTGGTAGATGTTCTGCGACAAGAACGGGTTCTGCATCTGTTGCTGCTGCGATATTAAAGCGAATTGCAGGTTGGCCGGGAAGTTGTTGAAGTGGTTGTAGGCGTCGAACGTGGGAGTTAAATAAGGCTCGTGCGCGTCCTTCTTCAACGGCGGGTTTTGCAGGGATTGCAGCGGCGCCACGCTGATTTTGCTTTCTGTTGTTGATTTGGTTGCAGCGCTTGATATTGGCGTTTGAGGTGATGGCGGGCTGAAGGATTGAGGCGACGATTCCTCCTGGTTTTGGCTGCTCAACGCGCCGGAGCTGTGCTTCGCCACGTGCGTCACCAGCCGGTCCAATTCGCTGAAAGCTTGATTGCAGGCGTTGCAGTGGTAGTGGTATTTCCTTTTCAATTTGCAGAACGGTCGGGAGCAGCACAATTCGGGACCGTAAAGGGTATTACTGCCAGTTGTTTGAGGTAGCAACTCGTGAGGTTGGGGCGGTTCTGAAAGGATATATTCCACATTTAATTGTATTTTATTAATTTAGGTGAACGTGCACAGGTGAATTTGAACTACTCCAACTTTAATAGGGTTATAAATACTGGCAACACCTATTTGAAGCATGCTGTTATATTGGGTTAGAACCTACAAAATTCGTTTAGGGTAATTTTTTTTCTTTCTCTTTTTAAACAGGAAAAATAATTTAAATGTCTCATGCCTTTGGGACTTGCATTAACAGTTGCCTGAATTTATTTTATTTATTAGACGAAGAATATGATTTGAAACAAATATGTTAGTGAAGCATTTGCGTTAGGCATTAATCATGCCCTGGTTAGTACACGTGAATATCGTACCTGAGACGATAGTTTTATATTCTGGTGATTTTTGAATTTCTGTAGGCAATGTAGATAAAGGATAGAAAGTCCCTGATGCCTTCACCACTAGAAGAGAAATACATTTTCTATATTTACATCAAATTCAACTAAACAAGTGGAATATCTATCTACAACTAGTATTACGGCTATATAAAAAAATCCACAACCGATTAAATTCTACTTGATTTATTCAAAACACCAACCTGAAACCTTATTTTCAGCCGCCTGGCTCAGATTCATAGCTTTGAATTGACCATCAGTAGTCTCTGATCGTTGCTCAGTTAACTGAGCCTCGCTCTTCACTCTAATTTCCGGCTTTTGCAAGCTATTCAAATTCGCCTCATCTTCGTGCTTCTGCTTGTGCACGGCCATGGTTGAATACTGGACGAACGAGAAGTTGCATCCCGGCCTGGTGCAATGGAAATGCCTGTTGGTTCTGTTGCTGGTGCAACCCAAAAGCCTGCAATCCACGTTCCTATCGTAGAATTCGAACCCGTCCAGTATTTCCACGTTGTCGTGGAAATCTTTAGCGTGGATGAGGAGCGTGTCTTCCTTGTCGGTGACGTAGAGGCAGCGGTTTTGAATGCAATGAAAGTGAGATGAACCCAAGTACGGACAAAGATTGTCCGGGCACTTGGAATTTTCGTTAAACATTTCGAAACCTTGTAGCGAATAATCTTGATTCTAAAATATAGAAAAAGTTGAGAAATTAAAGTTCAAATTTCGGTATAAATTGTAAATTACCGATTGACTGTGTGTGCTCGATGTTTCGTCGTTGGAATCTTGCTGTTCCATTTCTTTGCTGCTCGAAGGAGTCGCTGATGGTTTAGGTAATTTAAAGCTAGTGAAAATTGCTTGAGGACTGTCCATGAGGCTTTGGGAACCCATAGAGTTGTAGTCATTCCAAACTTCAATGACGCGATTTTTCGGAGGTCTTCCTCTCTTCCTGCAAAACATCCCGTCTATTGAACTGGACAGATGCGTCATCGTCAAGGGATCTTTAGTGTAGCTCAGCTTCTTGGAATATTCGTGCATTTTGTAATGCTCCAACCTCCTGAACGGTTTATCCACGGGCAGAATAACCTCCCGACAGTTCTCCCAGTTGCAATGGTAATGCTTCTCCTTGTCCCGGTACACGCAGGAATCATCACAGCCGCCGTTTTGTACTGTCACAGTGGTAAAGTAGTTCTCAGTTATCATCTCCTGCTGCTCGTGGTTCCTAGAATGCTCGCGAGCCGACTCCTTCGAATTGAACGACATCTCGCAATTATCCACGAAGCAGTGGAAGTGATCGACGAATGTGTACTCGCACTTGTCGTTGGGACACTGATTTTCAGGCACGAACTGGCAGTACTTCCGCCAAAAGTCGTCGCTGTGATACGAAATGTTGTCTTCGTGCGCGAAGAAGGATTCGTTCGCGCTCAAGTCCATAGCCGAGGCCGATTCGGATTCCTCGTAGCTCACCGGCGAGTTGGTCTCGCTCAAGCTCTCCGTGTTGGACAGATTCGACATGTTCGACATGCCGCTGGTCGACTGGTACATGGACGACAAATTGAGGTTGTCGATCTGGGCCTCGTAGTCCCGGGCGAAGTTCGCGGGCACGGCGCCCGGCCCGTCCGTCAGCGTCTTCAGCATGCTCTGCGCCAGCTTGTACTTCCTGTACGCCAGCTCGGAGTCCTTGCGCTCGTGCTTGCGCTTGTGCGAGAACAGCTGCCCGGAGGAGTGCAGCACGTAGCTGCACTGCGGCCGGATGCAGTGTATGTGGTTGCACACTTTGGAGAAGCGGCAGTTGTCGAACGGGCACATCTCGTTTTTCATGAATTTTTTGAAACCGTCCCTGGATAACTGCTCGTCCTTTATGTGGTAGGATTTGTGTTTTTCTGCAAAGGGAGAGTTGGTTTTTAGAGAAGGTTGGAAGACTTTTATATAATGATGAAGAAAGCTATACTTACCCATATCGCTTTTATTTTTGAATGTGAACCTACAGCCGCTTCTTCGGCAATGGAAATGCGTGGTCCTTTGGCCGAAGAAGGCGCAATAGCTAGCCCCGCATTCCTCCGTCGCCCTGTATCTTTGGAAGCCTTCTTGAATGATCGCCGAGTCCTTTCTATGGTAATTCGCGTGCATTTGCACGTCAGAAGTGGATATGTAAACCTGCAACAAACGTTTTGTAAAAGCTCATCGAGTGTGACGGCAACAATTGTACCTTATCGCATCCTTCTTTGATGCAATGATAGTGCGTCTGTTTCTTGTTGTGCGTGCAATTCTCGAACCTGTCGCCGCAATCGTCCAAAGGACTGTACCGCATGAACCCGTGTTGCAGGGACTCGTCCCTTTTCTTGTGCCACTTGAAATGCCTGATCATTTCCTCTTTTTTAATGAATACCCGTGAGTTGCAGTCGAGGCAATGGAAATGTTCTCTGCAAATAAACGCGTGATGTGATTGGTTGCTAATAGGAGCGATTTCGGTTGTTATTAACCTGTAATTCAAGTCCTTGCAGTAGGAGTTGCCGCACTCCAGCGAAGACGCGTATTTCCTAACGTATTTCGAATAGTCTAATTGGCTAGTTGGTTTGCTTATGAGGAGATTGGAAGACGCCGAGATCGGATCTCTGGGTTGAGTCGGTGCCAGCGACTGAGCCATCATCGCTGAAACAATATACGAAACATCTCAACTACCGTACTAAAATTCTATGAAAGAAAGTAGACGTTGCAGTGAATAGCATCCTGGATATATTTTTTTGTATGTAGGTACTAATAAAAAGGTGGACGTGGTTTTGAATGAAATCGGAGGATTTCGATTTCTGAAAGAGTAAAAAGAGACCCGTTTAAAATCATGCACGCACTTGTACAAATAGAGCGCAATGAAGTGCTCTCCGGTTTCGGGGGGGCTCCCATTCAACTCTTTCCACGGCGGATTTAAGGTCGGTAGTCGCTCGAAAGGCGGACCCGTGTTTAGTTTTTTGACCCTTCGGATGCTTAAATAAACATCTGGTCCACTCATCATTGTGGCCCATAACGAACGTTACGTCATTTAGCTGCGAGTAAATGAAAACAAATCTGTATTTTCACTTTTGTTAACCGGCGATAAGACGTGTGTGCGTCTGGAAATTGAAATTGAAAATGAGCATTGTTCATTAATATTTTACGTCCCGCATGCACTCGGCTTTCTTTTGGTCGATTAGAACGTTCAACTTTGAATAAAAAGTGATTCATTCGACAAATTGTAACCAAGAGGTTTTAATTTACACGTTCATAAAAGTTACCAGAATTATACGTTTTAATAAATAGGAGTTTTCACTAAATGTTTGTCTTAACGTACGTTAAAATAACGTAACGTAAAGGTTGCTGAAACCTAATACACGTTAATATTATTAACTAAGGTCGCGCAATTAATTTGGCGGTCTTCCTAAAAACTTTGGCAAATTTTAATTCTAACATCCACAACGATAAATTCCGATTGCCGCTATAGCGTTTACCGGATTAGGTGAATTACGGGACCGCTAATAACGCGAAACGAATGACAAATTACGGGTTTCGGGGACGGCGAAAAGTCCCCCTTTTTTCTGGTCGCCCGTCGGGTTTTACGAAAAAGGAAACGCTTAAACGCAGCGTAAACTTCCATTAAATTGTTGTTCAGTAATTTTTCAACTGTTCTAAATTGATTTTGATGTATAAACATGGCCAGCAGTTGTCTAAAAAAGGAAATATTAAATCTAACCGCCATGATTTAAGTACATGCTACTGTATGCTCTTCCCCAGGGACGGACTTAGGAATCCCAATGGAATACTAAACATACTTTAGTACCTATAGGTCAAATCACTTTTAATTACTATAACCTAATCAATACTTAATCGATTTTTTACCTACTCTAATTTGAAAAAAGTAATTTATTTTTCTTAATTCGCAGGATTTCCCAATACTATAAAATAACGAACATGATTTAAAGTCCACCTCTGATATTTACATACGTAAACGCGAGTGTAGCTCTGTCTTCCTTTTTTTATGCATGTTGTTGAAGATAATCACTACAAATTGAATCCAATAAAATCATAGTCGACCCGTACTCTCACGACAATTGAACGTCAATTTAACCAATTTAGCCATCTTTTTATTATTCATAAAATTTCATAAACTCGCCCGTTTGTTCTCGTTTATTTTCCATTCGGACTTTTTTTCGGACGACCGGACGGCGGTCAAATCGTTTGGTTCCATTTAAAAATTGACCGGCCAAATTTTCATTTATTAATTACTAGTAGAAATCAGTTTGTCTGGAAATATGCATATACAAAGAAAAAGTAGGCTAGGTATTGTCCATAGATGTGAAGAATTTGACATTATGTCACGATAACCTTAAAGTTTCCGGTACCTATGTAATTAGCAAGTTTAATGCTACGAGCGCAAGATTTTCGCATTAATTTAGAATCTATTTCTAAATGAAAACCGACGGGCACGCGGTCGCCATTCCTAACCTTCTGCCGATCATTTCGAATTCAAATTGCCGCCAATAACGATCGATTTGTTTTCGCGTTAACATTTGAATTCTAATTGCGGCATCCCGGCAATATCTTCCGCCGATCGAGCCAAGTCGAAATGTTAAATTTTTGGCCGCAGAAGCGCTCCGCAAAATTCTGTTTGATAGAAAATTTCGAAGCGATCTTTTTTCGGATGAAAATAGATTTTAATCCGTCCCATTCGTTAGAAAATGCCGCTAATTAACGGGCTCGTTATTATTAGACGAAATCGCATTGGGCGTACGTGGTTGATAAATTTTATTCTAAAGGTTTTTAATAGACAATGTAGCAATTATTTTTCGAAAATATTTACAACATTTCGATATATCGTATGTAGAATGTGATTACAGCATGGAAACCCCTCGTATAAGGTGTCTATTTTCGTATTTAGGAAAACGCACAAATTATTATCAAAATTGCCATGCGAATCATGCTTGTTCCGCAGCATCCTTTATTTTCACTAGAATTATAATAGGAAAACAAATGATGGAGAGCATTCCACTATATTGTTGACAGGGGTGGCTTAAGAAATTTTTACCAATGGCAATTACCACATATTTAATTATAAAACAAATATTGTAGTCTTAGATAAGTATAGGATAATTAATTGACAATGTAACTTTTAATAAACGCAAAAATGAAGTAATGGAAAATAATTATAATTTTGTATGCCACCCCTGTATGATAATTTCGAGCCGGCATTATCTTATGTAAGCGTTCGCAGCCAAAGCGCTAATAGTTTTGCAAAAAATCAGTCATATTTTGTTGCCAGAATCGCTGTCTGGGAATTGTAGTCTAGCAAATAGAATAAAATAAAGAAACCGTTTGTTCTAATTGCGTTCGAAAATAGATTTCTATTTCCAAGAAAATGCAATCGCATCGCGACATTGCCCCGTTGCATCAAATCGGGAAAACCGACGAAAACGTCTCTTTCTCTTATAGCGGATCGCGAGAAATTCTCGCGGATTCTATATTTAAAAAATCGCGCCAAGTACAAAGGACGCTCGTTTTGCCGGATTTTTTTTTGTATTTGCACTTCTTTTTAAAAGAGAAATCCGACGGAACTTTTACGTTTATTTACTGTTATAATTTATAATTTTAGAATATTTTCGAGAAATTTTGTTTGCATTAGTAACAACTCATAAAATCGAAGAACTAATGAACACTAAAAAACATTATTCGACTAACAAGATGAAAACGCGCGTTTAGAAATTATTTATTCTGGTTTACCGTTAGTTAAATTCCCATTAACGATTTAACAAAGCAAATGTACCTATATTTTATACAAGGTGATAACCCAACGAATTATTTTTAGTATATCAAAGGAAAAACAATAAAATTAATATAGAGTTATTCGATGTAAAAAATAGAGATAAAGAATAAAGGGCATTTGACGTACTTCAAAATAACGTTACGTTATGTTTAACATAGATTAAAGGACGTAATAAAATTATCAAATGAAATAATGCGACATAAAAGCTCGACAGTCGTAACGAAAACCAGAGTTAACAAATAACAAAAAGTTTATTAATTTTACTACGAGCAATAACGATTCCTAGTTTTCGCATTAAAAACGCTTTTCCCGGTAACCCGTTCGCTTCGAACGATCCGAAAACCCGTAGTTAGTTTTTATTTTCAATTCATTTCATAAATAGAATAACAGAGATATTAAAATTATATTTTATGATGTATAAGCATTTCTGTTTCTGTGTTAAAACACATTTCGAATAAAAGATAAATCTCGAATATGTACCAGACATCCGTTCATAGAGGTTTTTTTACGTACTTTGGTGTAAAAGCGCTGGTTACCGCAGTGGCGTACTTACAAAACTAATTCCCACAAATTTATTAGGCTCCTTCTTCCATAAAACTGCATAAATTACTTTTTTTAGTGTAAATATTGCATAAAATAATTTGACGTACGAGGGTTAAAACAAAAGTAAGATAAATTATAGTACTCTATACGAGGGATGTTGCAAAAATAAGGAAGTAATTCGAGGTTGCGCTGCTGATTGACCGAAAATCGTAATTAATTCTGGAAGTTGTAATGCGTTTTGTGCATGACGAGTTACATTTTTCAGTCGAAAAATTTAAATTAGAGAATAGTTTGACGATTTATTTTCGATGTCGGGAATAACAAAACGTTTCGTTCGAAGAACTCGCATCTTTGTGAGCCATTCGGTATGCCAGCTTTGGTTTCAGGAGAATAATTTTAACTCCAGAATTATATGCGCTCTTTTTTCAGTGTTGTTCTCGACAAGTTCTACCCTAAAATATCGTTAAAAACCGTTGAATAAAAAAACGCTGAAGGCGTTGAATTTATAAATTAAAATTGTGAAGTAATTGAAATTTTTCTTGGAAATATCAAAGCCTGCCTATTCACGTAATATCTAGGTAGTACCATCGGCCAGTAGATAAAAAACTATATTACATATTACGCCATCTGCTTGTTGTTAGTCTATTATATCAGACAAGCTCTGAATACATTATCTCGAATTTGACCGTACATATTCATATTTTTAGATTGCTTAGTTATTCGACTGTATAGCGTTTATTATATCGGGAACATGTGTGTGAACGAGTAATATATCAAAAACGATGAAAATTAAGTGTTTTTTTATTATTTAATGATAGTTCGAAAAACGTACGGTAGTGCGTACGAAATCGGAATGCGCTATAAATGGAATAAAAATGTTTTACAATCCATCCTTACTGTTATGTTATTAACTTTAGAACGATTTAAATGACAAGCTGTCAGCGTTAATAGAGAGAGGAAAAAACCGATAATTGCGTTAGATTTAAATCGTAATAGGTTTGTTGTAATGGGGGGATTTTTGAAATGGCAGTTGGTAATAGATTTCATTTTTTTACTTCACGATTTAATGCGAGGCATTAATTTAAAAAAATGCGTAATAAAATAATAATTGGTTAATTAAAAAAGCTAATTAACCTTCCCCATTTAACGCCTTTTAGTACTGATTTTACGTCGAATGAAACGGCCGAATCGTATGTTTAAAACCGGCGATCCCCAAGGGCCAAGCCGGCGCAAAACCTGATTGCCAATAATTTCGAGCGCATCGCCAACACCGATAAATAAAAATCGCCGAATGAAGTTATCGATTGGTCTCATTTTTCACGGGGAGTCCCGTCCGCGTTTTGACGTGAAGCACGCCATGTGTAAAATTCAATCCTTTATGCCGAACATTCGCCCGAAATTAGTATTTTTAGGTTATTAAAAATTCGACGGAGGCAACCCCTTCGCCACCCCATCATAGGGGCGCCCTCAGATTACCGATCGCGCCCTTCAAGCAGCGGCGAAACCTTCTACTCTCTTTTAAAGGATCCACCTTTGCCAATAAATAATTTTCGATTTTTTCGCTATAACAAATTTATTTTTTTTTGATGTTTTATAACGATTTAATAAGGTGAGTTTTTGCAAAATTACATTTGCGACTAAATGTACAATATTTCTCCTCTTTGTAATGAAAATGCTTATTATAATGCCGGGCTAAATGGCTCGTAGAGGCTTATTTTGAGTTGAAAAACAAGCAATTATAATCGCACATTATTTTCTTGTTTTCTAGAGTCTGATGAAAGTTGGCAGCACTTTAAACCGATCTTTTTATAAGTGCTCCGATCTAATTGGATTTTAAAATTAAATATTTCCTCGAATGAATTAGTTTTCAATTCGAAGCGTTTACTGCATAAGCGGAACAGTGAGCAAATATCCTCGAGAAAAGATTGAAATTCGAGCGGAATTTAAATTGCTTAAATTGTTACCTAATTGGAGAATTACGCAGTTGCGCTACTGTTGAACTTGCACGGTTTAAAGTAAGCCCTTATAAAATACTACTCGGAGTTTTTTTTTTTCAAATCGACTCGCCCATCTAAACTACTCGACGGATTCACAAGGTTTTTCCGTCAAAAATCCGATCGACCGGCCGTTCATCCGCCGGCGGACCAGCCGATTGTTCGACGAGAACGAATCGCCCGATCGGCAATAACGCGCCGGGCGATCGTTAAAATCCTTAAAAAACGCATGTGAACTCTTTCATTCGATTCATTCAAAGGGTTAAAAAGATAAATAAGGTAGTTTTTTTGTATTACATAAACCCTTTTATATGAAATTTGAAATTCTAAACCCCTTTATTTTGGGTACTTTTCATTATATTTAAATTTAACACGTGTGCTCCCGGCACAAACGTTGATTACTCGACGGTTTCTATTTAGTTAACAGAAAGATTTGGAGAAAATGAAAAACGCTCCAATTAAACGTTTCACTAGGGGACCGAGTATGTTACAAATAAGCACAATAGAGATTATAGAACTTGGATTTTTTTGTATTTGCTATGGGAAAATTATTTATCATCAATAAAATTGAACAAAAACATTAACATATTGATTTGTCGTTGTTTGACGTTATTATTAATGTTAATTCTGCTATTAAAATCGAATTTTAAAGGTAAATTTTAATAATAGATGCGATATAATAAATTATAGAGCAATTGTACAGGGTGTTAATTAATTGAGTACCGATACTTCAGGATGTGAATATATTTGGATGATTTTAAGAAGAAATGTTTATATCAATGTATGTCCTAAAACTTTTAGTTTTCGAGCTACTGGATGTTAAAATTTTAGACAAAAAAACACATTTTTCAAAAACATGCTCAAAAAAGAGCATTTTTTGAGGCAAAAGATTTTTTTAAACTTTTACAAGTGACGTCCGTAGGCGGTTTGAACTGAATATGTTTGAAGAAAAAATGGCACGCTACTGCTTTTTCTAAAAACCAAAATTATTTTTAAATTCCTCATTTATTTTGGAGCAAATTCGGTCTGAATACTTACTTTTGTGCGAAGCACCATTATCGCGTAAAAAAATAAAAACTAAAACAATTTTTCCCAAGTTCATTGATACTGCTTTTGATATTTTGTTGAAATTTGGTAGGCGCCCACATGCATGGAAACACTATTTTTTGGGATAAAAATAATGTTTCATAAAAATATCTGGAGTAATAAGAAAATTATGATAGAATAGTTATTATTTTTTAAAACTGTAACTTTTTGTAGGACTCTAACACCCTGTAGCTCGAAAACTAAGAGGTTTAGTACCCTGTATTATTTACACCCTGTATATAATTCAAATTTTTTAAGTTTTTCTCGCTGGTTTAGCAATCCAGATTTTACATACTTCTCCTTCATTAGCCCCACATTTGTATAAAAAGTGTGGCGTATTTTCGAAAATTTCGATCGAAATGTCTTTGTAGGGAAATCGGGATGGTACGGGCGCGCATCAGAATGCGAGAATAGGCAATAAATCTCGCGATTTTAATAATTTCTTAGGCGATTTATATTCAACATTATGTATATCAAATTCCCGAACCGCCTACTTGACGTTCGACATATGCCCGAGCGCGGAAAAAATCCCCGACTGACAATGGAGTTTCTCCATAAAGCGCGCTCCGTGCGGCCGGACTTTTTTCGCCGGCCGGCCGCGACCGAGGTGAAATTTTAAAAGAAAATTCCGAACGTGCCTCCGGAGCCGTTCCCGTATTACCGACGCAAAGAATTACTCCTTTTTAAAAACCATATAAAGCCGTTTCGACCGCGTGCTGTATTGTTGCGCGATCGAAAAACCTCCATTTCACGGCGTTATATAGTTCCCGGAATAAAGTTCGTTTTTGAAATTTTCGAGCGCTAGCCGGCTTCACGGAACGATAATTCGTCGAAGATGACGCTTTTATGCGAATTGCATCGCGGGATCTTCGGTCCGAAATAATCGACTTTTTTTTTCAGTCAATCTCCATAAAAATTTATTCCATTTTAATAGGTATAGCCTTACCCAAAAGTTAATTGAATATTGTATGAATATATTGGAATAAATCATAGCTTTATTGTTTATTAAATATGTTTATCAGGAGATTCATAAATTAATTTTTTTATACAACAACACTTAATAATGTTTCTATAAAAGGAGTGAATTCCATAAAAGTAGTTTCTATTGATTCATAAAATTGTATATACAGAAGAGCCTTTTTAAAGATAATATACTAAGAGAGAAGTAAATTTATTAAAAAAATGTCTTTACTTGCTAGCTCCGCGAGCTCGATAAACGTAGGAATTTCGAAATTCCGCCGCCCCCGTTGCAATTCCTTAGGCCGGTTATGCGATAACTGGCCATATTAATCTCGAGCCCGATAACCTTCTGATTTACGACGTTGTACAGTGAAAATTAAATACAAATCCGCCGTGGATTTATCAATTATCTAATCGCCGGCGTTCGATCTAATAATGAATCGGCGTTCGGCATTTGTGCGAGCTTCGCAAAAACGTACGGGTAGGTAAAATTCGCTATAGATAAAATGGCGGAACTATCATAAAAGTCGTACTATAAAATGGTTTATAGTACGCGTACGGGCGAAAAACTAGTTTCGATCGCAAAAATAAAAACGCCACACTAGGCTTTATTGTACACTAAATCACATTTTATTATATTTGCGAACATTTAATAATATCGCTTTTATTTGCTCGATTACGACTGCAAAGAATTAAAGCAAACATTGTAGACGGCTTTAACGAATATATCGTTAATTTTAATGCGATGTTGGTAACAAATCAAACGACTATATTTCATTAATATGATGAGAAAGTCTATTTAAACTACGATGAAAAAGAAAAAAAAATAAGATTGCATATAAATACGAACAGAGCCTCGACAATTAGGGCAATTAACTACTGTACAGTGGTATTTTCTGGTTGTAAGTTAATCAAGAAATAAACTCTGTTTTTTTTAAACACACTGTATGAACAAAACATCCATTCGAATTAAGGAAAACACGATTTTAAATTGCCCTAAATTGATTGTGACAAGATTTAATTTGGTTATTAAAAGAACTTGAAATATCTCCCGACAATTCGACGGACTCTTGTTAAATTCATGTCTTTTATTAATAATGAGAATAAATGGAAATTAACTGTTAGTATACAGTGTGGAAAAACGAATATAACTACCCTTAAGTTAGTTCAGTATTAACTCCATTATTTCAAAATAATTGTGCATGTCTAAAAAGGGCTTTAGAAAGAGTATGTAAATTACCGTGTGCAGGTGATATTTTCCCGTTCGAAAAACCGCCATTTACCCATTATATTGATATACAGAGAGTTACATCGAAGTCAAACGTTCCTTTTTGATTGAAATTTATGCCGGTAAATAAATAGAAGTAAATAAGCAATGCCATAAAAGATAATTTTCTATAGAAATACATTGTATCTTTATGCCCAGATCCATGTATAATGGCTGTTTTACGATCGGCCGTACGTACTGTCGTACGACGATTACTTTATACCGTGAAGTATTAAAAATTATTTTTTTTCCGATCGTTTTACGATTTTGCTAAAGACACACGACTTTCCAATTCTCGGTAAACAGGCGTGTCGATTTTTACTGTTATTGTCATAATATAAGCGAGATTTTTCCCAATACTTGCGCTAATTGAATCGCCATTACCATCAAAACTAATATGCATTCCTCTCGTTTCGAAAAACAACGCAAACAACATTGATATAAATGTAAATGAACTAATTAAAAGATATATCAAGTGAATAAAAAAATTTACGAACCGCTTTTATATAGCGATAAAATACGGACGACACCTCGTATATAAAGTATTATGGATTCAAAGGCATCGGTGTGTTCGAAATTGCAATAATCTGCGACCTTCTGCTTCGTTAGCATCGGAACACCCGGCCGAAACGATTCTCTTTGCCTGCTCGGCGAAAAGGAAATTATTTATTTAGTTACTGATATTTACAATATCATTGTCCAGTCAGGGCGAGGAGGCTTTATGGCCGCGTTGGCCGGATTCCCGGCGGGGAAAAGGCCGCTGAAATTCTCGAATTTTCATAAAAATTAGCTGAGACACTTACCGTTGAGGGGATTGCTCTCTAATGGCGGGGGGCTCGTTGGTTCAGTCTTTGTTAAATGAGAAAATGGAAAAAAATTCGAAGGAAAAATACCCTGAAACAAAAAAAAAGTATTATTAATTTCATAAGCTTTTAGTCAAGAGTGTATTAACAAAAAATCCACATTTCTACATCAATTTAAAACAATTTGTTGGTTGAAAATACTCGGAAACATCCGCACCTTCAGCGAGCTGGCTTTATACAGGGTGAGTCTACTATAAACCACCAATAACCAATAAATGTAGAATTAGTATAACGAGAAACTGTTTTTGTCGCGCCCTGTACGAGTACGTTTCATGTCCAATTCTGGTTCGAATGCGTACGTGCACCGTGCAAAAACATCCCGTTTAATTAGTAGAGCAATTAGAGTCAATTAGAATTGCGAGCGAAAGAACTGGCTAGCGAATTAATCGATAATTCGATTTTTTTCCGCCGCGTTTTCTTAAGGAAATTTCATTTTCGCGAAATTCTTCGGTACGTCTCTGAGTCAGGCCGGAGCGCGTTTAATTCAAAATTAATTAACCGAGTGACTAGTGAATTTTTTTTGACCCAATTCGAGCGTAATTCGCGCACTGTATGTAAATAACTACATAAAGAAAAAATAAACGCAATCAAAAATTAGATCTAACGAAATAACAAACCGAAAAGCAGTTAATGCGAAATTATATTATTAAATCCGGAGCGTTGAATACTTGAATAGCATTCCGATCGAGTGCAAGATAGGCGGGTAATTATTTTACAAATGCTCGGAAACCGACTAGATGCTGCTGTATATATTTTTTTCTCTCATAATTACGGGTAACTGTAACTTTTGGCGCTAAATTTCCAGCTTATTGTTCATAATTTTAATTATTCCACAAGAAAAATGAGAATGAAAAAATGTGAGAATTAGGTGAAACTCCGACTTTTGATTCGGTTATCGTAATTAAACAATGCTCGGATTGCTATCTTTATATACTGTAGCAGCAATTGCGGGTTAGACAGAATACGAACAGGATAGGGCTAAAAATCAACAAACTATAACATAAATAATTTATAATGAGACTTGCAGACTTGATAGGGAAAATATACCTACACCATAATTTTAAAAATTCAAAAATGAATAAAATGAAAAAAAATAGGTACTACCTATAATGAAAAGTTAAGATAACATTTAGATAATGATAGAGGAAAAAAAATAAATTATTAAGAAAACAATATTTTTATACAAAATTATTATTTGAAACGACAGTGAATGAGAAAAAATAATTCCTTGGCATTAGAATTTGGAGCAAATGGAATACGGACCTGCTCCGATAATGTGGGAAGACATTTTAAGTAAAAATAATGGAAGCAATCTCGGTGAGTTTACAACGATATTTTAGCAGGAAATGTTAACAATAAAATCAAATTACCCACTCACAATTTACATCCTAGTTTTACGTGATTTATATGTAAGTAAATTTCACAATTAGGTAGGTAGTTATTATAATCGGGCACCGACAGAACAAAACTGTTAATGAGAATATTTCTTTTTGTATATTTTTTTTACGAAAGTGGATCAAGATGAACCGCACCGAGCACTAAAGAGAATCATTAAAAAAAAAGGTTAATTTGATGGATCAAATTTTGAGTTGGCAATAAATATCTTATGTCTGTTAAGAACCAATTTAACTAGCTTTTCCAGTGGTGCCAACTGATTTTTAAAAATCACTAGATCATAGTGAAATTTTACATCTCGCGTTAAGACCCTTTTGGTTGCAAGAAAATTTGTATTGTCTCGCTTACTTCGCAAGCTCGAACACTTCAACTTTATCGCGCCTAATTATCCATCTACATAATCGACTGGGTAAGTATGTAGAGACATTTAGCAAATATGCAGTTCAGGTATGCGACTTACCCTCCCACTAGACGTACTATCGCCGCAACCAGTCTCTTGTTTCACTCGCCTGAGAGCCTCCAGCTCGGCCTGGCTGTAGACGGGCTCCTGCGAATGGGCCACGCCGTTGGTGTAGGGCCGCCTGCCCAGGTCCAGCGGCGTGCTTTGGCAGAGCGGAGGCGGCGGCGGCGGCGGCGACGCGCGGGATTGAGGTAATTTTTGACTAGATTGGGAATGAGCGGTCAGACTTAAGGACGAGGGAATGTGCGTTAGCTTGGCGTTGGCGTCGCCCGATTTCGGCGACAGCGGCGTCGACGGCGGCGTCGGCGGCTGCGAGGGCGGCGTGCCGTCCTTCTTCGGCGGCGTGTTCAACGTGAAATTCTCGAAGATTTTGCCTGAAACAACCGTTTAAAATCATCAAATAATGTAGATTGACAAAGCTCTAACAGAGGTTTGTTCGCAGGAATAAGGCATTTTTGTCTTGTAGGTACATGCGAACTAAATTCAGAACATGCTGTTGAAACCTAATAACGTAAAAACAAAAAAAATACCAACCACCTGTTAATTTTTTTGTATACACGAAGAAAGATGTTTTATTGTTTGTCTACGAGGGTTCGACGATAAATTCATAACTACTCAATCCAACCCTTAGTACTATTAAAAATCCAACAAAATTTATTCAGTATATACACAAAAAAAAACGCCCAACCATGTAATAAAACATCCGAATGTAATATAATTACGAAACATCTGCCATACAAAACAAAACGAAACAAAAACCGTCCCAGAACGAAACCAACTCGACTTATCGATTAAAAATTAAAGAATCCACTCAGAAGAAAAAAAGTTGGGAAAAAAATAAAAAAAAAAACACCACCCAACTCCGAAACAGAAAATAACTAATTTATCATTTATTCAAAGCAGAAAACAAATGAATTTCCATAGCGGGCTTGATTAAATGAAGGATAGCGAGAGCGAGAGGGGAGAGACGGGCGGGCCGTTGTCGAGACGAAGACGCCGATATTGTGGTAGCCCTGTCGAGTACTTGGGCTAAATGAAAGAAATAAAAAGAACCGAAGCCGGCGCGTAATGAGCCAGACGAGGACGGCGATATCGAAAAGAATGATTAATATTCAAAAGAAGGATAATATACAATACGGTGAAACAGGGTTAAAAAAAGAGCTCGTATGGCCAGATTGCCCCGAGGCTGCCATAAGCGCGCTTTCTTACTGAAATTTGCCAAAAATTAATAATACCTATACAAAAAAATTCCCTATACTTATAATCAAAAGTTTGGTAGTACTTCTTTTTTTTATAAGTATTGCTGGATAAATATCAATAACATTTTGAATACACCAATAATTAGAAAATTCATACAAAAGCTTCTATTTATATAAGCGAGTGTTTAATTTAAACACATTTCAAACTATTTCAATATCAAACAAATGTAATAATAACGTTAGGTTTTTTTTAACGTACGTTAAACGCCCTACATTCGGTTTGACCTACTACAAATAAATGAAATATGAAATATAAATGTAGCTAATTAAAAATTCATATTGGTATTATTTGAAAGTGTTACAATCTTATCAATATCCACTAAAAATTAATACTATAGGTGCATAGAAACTTTGATAGTATCTGATGTGTCTACACAATCATATTTTTCTTGTCGTTTTTCCAGAGGAAATCCTCCAAAACATAAATATTTATCGAATCTGCAATTCAAATGAGCGACGACGCAGCACACACAAGAGACGTAAAATTTCAATAAGTAACATTAAAATAATAACTGACTCGGTATTTATGAACAACAAGTGCCTTATTGTACTCTCCTACAGTACAATATGAATACAAAATTACCTGTTTTCGAATTTTTATACTATCAAAACAATTGAATGCCCGTCTTATGTATGCATGACGATCGCGTTCTTTTTATTCCCGTGCTCATCGTCTCTTTCCCTTCCTTTTTTTTTTCGCTCCGCTCTTCTCTTTCTCGCGTCGCAAACGGCGCAGAGGAGGAAGAGAAAAAAAAAATAAAAAATAAAAGACGGGCGAAAAGGAGATGTGCAATTGTTCTTATAATATTCGAGTTATTAATCAAAAATGCTGGCGCGTTCTTTTGTTTTCTCATTGTGTGCCGCATGAAACAAATGAATTGCCCGGTCATTTGAATGCCTTTCGGTTCGCTCGAATGCGAATCGGATATATTGAAATTAGATATTCCTTTTAATAACGTAAATAAATCGCCACGTAATTGCCCTACGTTATTTTTTACGTACACACGTCATTACTGTCATATGTCAAAGTAAGGTGATATTTGACAGGTGACATGTGGTGGAATATTTTTCGAGCAATTACTAATGGAATTTTTTGTAATTTTAAAAACACTTGATAATAATATGACCGGAATTGGTGATTTAAAAATAAAACCAAAAAACGGATTTTTATCATCTGTAATCGTTGATTATTGATAAATATTTGGAATAAGTAAACACAATTTTTTTTTAATTGGAAATAAACAAAACCCAACGAATTCGTCGGTTATTTATTACCGTAATTTAATAATCTCAAAATATTTATCTCACACGCCGAATTAATTATAATCGCTTACAACGCGCCGAAATCTTTGCTGATTAATTAGCCGGATTTGTGTTGAAAATTAGAGAGTACGCAGGTACAGGTGTCGTTTGGAGAAATTATCTCGAAAATTCCACATTTCCACTCATATATGCTCGGCGCTAAATGATACATCAAACATCGAATAACAGTTTTTTTTCCAGTGTGAAAAAGATCATAAAAACCTCTACACCTAATAAAACTTTATTTACAGATGCGCTAGAAATAATGGAAAAACTCGAAAATTATTCAATCCGTTGTTGGTTCAGCTGCAATGACGAGCTCGTCTCGATCCTCGATCGACTTCATGCTCAACGGCAGAATAGAAACTTGTCAGAAGAGTTGCTTTTATAGGCTAATTTTTAACAACAACTTTGTTGTGTTGGCTATTCGATAAAAAAATAGTTAAAGAATTGTATAAAACTATAATTTAGTCCGACAGAATCCACCAGGATCTACTCTATAGGAAGTTAGTTAAAGGATTTAAGTGGTCAATAGCAGGAGTAACAATTAACAGGGTAATAGTGAATGAATAGCGAACATCAGGATAATTACTAATAGATAGATAATCTGTTAGAACGTTAATTGGTCTACAATAAATCGACAGGATTGTTGGTAGTTAGTGAAATAATTAGTAGTCAGAGCATTTGATAAAAAGGATATTTGGTTATACGATTTATTAGCAGGACAATTGGTCGATAAAAATCTACAGGATAATTGGTGGAACAGCAATCAGCGTACAGGACAATTAGTAGTGATTTTAATTTGTTAACAGGATAATTAGTCGACAGAGAAACGACAAGATAATTGGTCGACAAGCAGTTAGTCGACAGGATAATTAGTCAACAGGATAATTAGTCGACAGGATAATTATCATCAGTACCTACAATTTACCGACTTATTGGTTAACAAAGAATTCAAAATTTTAATTGACAATTGTTAGATAAAAAATTGAAAGTTTCAAAAAGTTTTCTTGCATAAATTAATAACCAATTGGCGCAATTTGAAGACATTTCACGGAACTCAAAACCCAAAAACCTCCCAATTTTGATAACATCAAGCGACGAAAACTCGCCTAATTAACATTCACGGCTAAAAAACCCAAGACCTGTTGATTTCATTCGACCGAGACCACATCAATTACATCGACTAGCATTTTAATAATTGATTCTTTTAGCGCGTATCATCCTAATCGAATCGACCGCTTTCAATTTCCATTTTCCCCCGGTCGTGAATCGCTCCGATTCGAACATGCCGGCGCGTCCGAAATTCGATTTTTATCTCGAAAAACTTCAACTGTCCGGGACCGATCCCGGTTTCCGATCCGGCGGCTCTCGTCCTGTTTTCTCGATCGATTAGAAGCCGAAAAAGCCATCTAAAAAATAATAAGAACCGCCGTGACGGACGCAGATGGGCAGAAGTAGGCCCAAACTTACTAATTATTAGAATAATATTCAACATTTCGAGTCGAGTTAATTGATTTAATTTAACCACTCAGTCAGTCAGCGATTGCTAGGGGATTCTATAGTTTAGAGTGCTTTAAAACAATTGGAATAATCAAGCACTTGATTGAGGAAGTTTTTAACAATATGTTTCGAATTTGAAACAAAAATTCAGACAATTAACAATGCTTTTTTTCCGAAATTTTAATCAACATATTCGATGACAGGCAAAGGGTTATCAAACTGCATGAATCTTTCGTATATCGGCGGAGATTAGGGGCTAGAATCGCTGGAATTGCATCCACCCCTGCTCCCTAGGTGGCGACCACGTGAACTAACCCCCCGCGGGCGCGGCCCATTCGAATATCCAGTAATATTAATCAAATTGTCATGTTCTATTATTCAAAATAAGAACAATGGCAAGTCGGAAGGGTTATTTTTTTGTTTCGAATTTCCAGTTTTGATATTCGAGGAGGCTTCGCGATCTACGCGCCAGATAGTGCGATTCTACAGGGAGGAGTTCGGAAATGAAATGATAGAAACTGGTATTATTGAAAAATTAGCAGCATAATTATAGAATATTAATTTTATTTAAAAATATTCTAAATATCTTGTTGCAAATGACGCAAAACCGCAAATTAATAGATTTCGGATATTTTCATTAAGTTCAATCATTGATCATTTATAGTAAATTATCGCCTTAATTTGTCAGAATTGCTTATTAGGTTTTTTCACTGTTCTAAGAAACTGAATAATTGATTTATTAGCTCCTATATGGGTAATTTAGTTTCAATGAATTCATTAAAATTGTCTTTATTTTTGGAATTTTTCCTATTTTTGTAGGCATATTTTTTTAGAAAATTCCTCAATAATTATAAATTGCCTTAATAGTGTTTTTCTTCTACGGTCAAGATTTTAATTGAATAATTTTGCGTATGACACAAATAAATGGAGCAATTAAATTGCAAATATTTTTCGGAAAAAAATAAAATATAGCGTCACGTGCGATATACATCGAGCATTGTTATTAAATAATATTACAAAACCGTGCACTTTGGTACGAAACATTATTTTGTTAAATAATTGAAAAATTCACTTAATAATCAGTTTTTTCTCCTACAAATTAACTAGGTTAATAGAAAATATCGATTGCAAAATATTTACGCGAATTAATATTAAACAATTAGAGTGTGGTCATAAAAAAGCAAGAAATTCGGAACCACGTCTTGCAGCCAATTTCACAGTTTGATATTTTTTAATGAATTTTCGCAAATTTTTAAATTGCCTCCCGCCGAGCAACTGTACTCTCCCACATTGCTGTATAAAAAAACCAA